TTTTTAAGTACTGGGGATTGAACCCAGGTGTGCTCCACCTCTGAGTCATATCTATGGCCCTTTTTATTTATTTTTTAAATTATTTATTTATTTAGTTTTCGGCAGACACATCATCTTTGTTTGTATGTGGTGCTGAGGATCGAACCCAGGCCGCACGCATGCCAGGCGAGCGCACTACCACTTGAGTCACATCCCCAGCCCCTCTCTGGCCCTTTTTAAAAATTCATTTGAGACAGGGTCTCGAAGTGCTGGCCTTGAATTTGTGATCTTCCTGCCTCAGCCTCCCCAGTGGCTGGGATAACAGATAAGGGTTGTGCCTGGCTCCAATTGCTTTTTACTGGGGATTGAACTCAGGGGCACTAACCACCTAGCCACATCCCCAGCCTTATTTTGTTTTTTATTTAGAGACAGGGTCTCACTGCATTGCGCAGCACCTCACTTTTGCTGAGGCTGGCTTTGAACCTGTGATCTTCCTAACTCAGCCTCCTGAGCCACCACAATTGGCTCCAATTGTTTTTTTTTTTTTTGTCTTCTGAGGTTTTACTGTGATGTGCCCATGTGTTAATTTTTTCATTTGTCCAAATGAGAGTTGTTAGCCGGGCCTGGTGGAGCATGCTTGTAATCCCAGCAGCTTGGGAGGCTGAGGCAGGATGACTGCGATTTCAAAGCCAGCCTCAGCAACAGTGAGGCGCTAAGCAACTCCGTGAGACCCTGTCTAAATAAAAAAAAAATAAAAACAAAATAGGGCTGGGGATGTGGCTCAGTGGTCTAATGACCCTGAGTCCAATCCCCGATACCAAAAAAATTAAAAAAAAAAAAAAGAGTTGTTGGGTTTTCTAATTCTATGAATTGGTCATTCATCAGTTCCACAACCTTCTCAGTCATTACATCTTCAGATATTTTCTGTCCCTATTGGAACTCTTATCAGACCTCCCTACTCCATCCTTCTGATTTCTTAATAACTAATATTTTCCTTCCTTTTTTCTGGACATCCTGGAGAATCTCTACAGAACTGTCTTACAGGTAAGTCTGCCTTCAGCTGCTAAATCAGTCTATTGATTTTTTTTGTTGTTTAAGAGACAAGGCCTGATTATGTTGTCCAGGAGATTAAGTGATCTTTCTCTGGCTTCATTTTCTAGAATAGCTGGGACTACAACCTTGCACAACTGCACCTGGCTGTTATTTTTTTTCCATAAAGTGGTTTTAACAATTCATCCACTGAGTTTTACATATGGAATAATTTTTCATTTTTTGAAGTTCTACTTGGTTCTTTTTCAAATCACCTTGATCATTTTATATATTCTCTTGCTTTCTGTTCCAAGTTTAGGGTTTTTTTTTCTTTTAAGTGCATTGAAAACAAAGACAAAAAGAAAAAAATAAATAAAACACTTTATATCCCTATACCTTAAGTCTTGGCGGGTTTCTCTGGCTATTGCTTATGCTGGTTCTTGGTCAATTATATCTCATGCCCTTACAATTTCTTTTGACTATAAGTTCCTATTTCTTGGATTTTTTTTATATTTAGTTGTAGATGGACACAATGCCTTTATTTTTATTTATTTTTATGTGGTGCTGAGGATCGAACCCAGGGCCTCACACATGCTAGGCAAGCCCTCTACCACTGAGCCACAGCCACAGCCCTATTTTTTGGAATTTTATCAATGGGATTTGTTCTGAGGTTTGGTTAAACATAAATTCCTCCAGAGAAGAAATGTGTTTGTTAGTTGCCAGATGACCAGTCCTACACCACTTTAAATTTTTAGTTAGTATTCTTAGTACAACCCAAGTATTGTCAATCCAGGTTGTAAACTCTTTTTCAGGGGCTAGTTTGGGGTTAAAAAATTCAGGAGTGGGCTGGGAGTGTAACTCAGAGGTAGAGCACTTGCCTAGCATGCTCAAGGCCACAGGTTGCATCCCACTACCAAATTCTCAGAGGAGGTTTTCCTATACCTTCCTACCCAGCTTGGAAACAGGCATTTTCCCTTGCTGATTCTGGCATGAGGAAGGAGAGGGTGGTTTATTTGTAGATTATACTGAGCATGTGAGCTCAAGAGAAACCCCCAAAAAACTGAAACTTGGGAAATGCTGATAAAATACTATAGATAATTTCAGAGAAAGAAAAGAAAATTCATCTTTGAAAAGATACCAAGGTTGTGGGCTGGGTGTGGCTCAGTTACCTAGCATGCATGAGGTCCTGAGTTCAATCCCCAGCACTGGGTGGTGGTGGTGGGGGGAAGCCACAGTCAGGACTAAATGGAGAACAAAGAATTGAGAATTAAGGCAACAAACATTTTGAAAAATTCAGAGAAGTCAACAAAGCTCTCAGAAAACAAAACGATAATCTGAGAATAGAGAAGAAATTCAGGCTCAATCTTGTCCTCTCTGGGATGATCATTTATCAGATGCTGGGCTTAACTGTCATTCCAGAGAGAACAGAGAAATCAAGGGGAGGAAATCACCCATGGTACAGCAGTAATACAATTTCCTGGAACAAAAGATGCACATCTGTCTCCGCTCAGTGGCAAAACAAACAACAAGGACAGGATGAGGTATGTCATGACATTCAGAATCTCGGAGGAAAAGACAACTAGGAGGAGAATGGCATGGAAGCTAGAATACAGGAGCACTGCCTGTAGGAAGGTGACCTCCAACCGAGGATTCTATGATCACATGTGCATTAAAGAAAGAAATGTTTAGACAGGCATTGACTTATAATTTTTAACTCCAGTGACTTTTTAAAGAAGGTGCCCATGGATACATTCCACCAAATGAGGGTGAACTAAGAAAGAAGACATGGACCCCTGGAGTCAGGAATCTAGCCCTGGAGAGGGGCAAAGTGAATTCTCCTGGAGAGCAAACAGTCCTCTGGGAAGGAAGAGTACAGAAGAAAGAGGAATCATCAGACTGGCTGGAGAAGAATTAGCAATTGGTATATTAGAAAGCTAAGCAAATTAAAAAGAAAAAAGGGCAACTACTAATCCTATGAAAAATAAAAAAAGTTTCAAAAAAGGTGATTTATTTATAGCCCCTAATTTTTTTCCCAGTGCTGGGGTATTAGCCCAATTTTTGGCTTTGCAGTGAATAATTTTCACATGGTAATATAAATGGCAATCTTGATAGCGAGTATTGATTTGCCTAAAAACTAGAGATGAAGGAGGGGTGCTGTCTCGAGAGCTAAATACTCATCTGCTACAATGGGGAGTCAACAGGTAGTATCTGAGATTGATAAATCAATCAAGAATAGTATAAGCATATTTTAAAAATAATTGAAGTTGGGGCTCACTTGCCTGGCCTATGTGAAGTACTGGGTTTGATTCTCGACACCATACACAAATAAAATAAAGGTCTATCAACAATTTTATATATATATAAAATTGAAGTGATTGTTGCTGGGGGCAGTTCAAGAGAATGAGAGGCTATTTTCTTGTTATAAACTGCCTAATTCCATATTACTAAGTGGAGACATGTTTTAAAATAAATATTAAGAAAGAAGACATAAACTTTGCCTAATGTACACAATTTCCTGGAGCCCTTGCTAGTGTGTGCACTGGGGACCATACACTGTTTCTTGCTTTATGTGCACTTGTCCAGATGGTAGACTTTATATATTTACACACACACACACATATATGTGTGTGTGTGTGTGTGTATGTATGTATGTATATATATATATATTTTAAATATTTATTTTTTAGTTTTAGGTGGACACAATATCTTTATTTTTATGTTGTGTTGAAGATCGAACCCGGTGCCTCGCGCATGCCAGGCAGGCGCGCTACCACTTGAGCTATATCCCCTGCCTATATATATAAAGTTTGTTTTGTTTTCTTTTTTTGCAGTACTAGGGATTGAACTCAGTGCCTCACACACTTTAGGCAAGGGCCCTACCATTGAGCTGCATTCCTAGTCTTTTTTTTTTTTTTTGAGACAGGACTAAGTAGCCCAGGCAGGCCTTGAATTTGTCATTCTGCCATAGTTTCCTGAGTCATACAGGCATGGGCCATAGTACTTGGTTCCATATATTTCTTTTTTCTTTTTTAAATTGTTTTTTAGGCAAATTTTAAATTATTTTTAGATAAATACCTTTATTTTATTTACTTATTTTTATATGGTACAGAGGATTGAACCCAGTGCCACACACGTGCTAGGCAAGTCTCTGTCACTGAGCTACAACCCAGCCCCCTGTTCCATATATTTCTCTCTCTCTCTCTCTTTTTTAAACCTTTATTTATTTATATGCCATGCTGAGAATCGAACCCAGGGCATTACACGTGTTAGGCAAGTGCTCTACCACTGAGCCACATCCCCAGCTCCCCACATATTTAATAGGATAGTATTATAAAACTCACATCAGGTGCCAAACATAGGTCTCTCCTTTCATCATAATGAACAGATATGAAAAAAAAAAACAGATCAGATGTTTTTGTTTTGAGTTCACACAGTTCGTAGTGCAGTTCACAGTATGACCTGGGTAAAAGGGACTATACGGTCTTCTGGCTAATACATGACTTTGCCCCATGACAGCCCACACCCTGTGCACACAACTCCAATGATGGGCTCATTACCCCCTTGGACAGGCCCTTCCATCTCCAGGTTCTGCAGGTTGAGACTAGAGTGACAGTGACACCCTCCGTTCCATATCTTTTCATTTCTTTACCTCTGCTATTTCCACTGTGCCTGGGCTGGCTTGATGTAGAAACCCTTCACCATCCTGACCCAGGTGGTCTGCTGGGCAGTGGGGAGAAGGGGGAAGGCTCTTTCTTTGGCCCAAACCGGTGGCCTCTTAACCTGGCTCCAGATGCATTCCTTGGAAGGGCTGGGGTCCACCCTGTGTCTTGGGCAGAGAGGCAGACAGTGGCAACCAGTTTGAAGCCCTTGGTCTTCTCTTTTTTTTTTGGGGGGGGGGTACTAGGGATTGAACCCAGGGTGCATAAACTGTGTCACATCCCCAGCCCTTTATCATTTTGAGACAAAGTCTCACCAAGTTGCTAAGGCTGGCCTTGAACTTGTGATCTTCCTGCCTCAGCCTCCCAAGTTGCTGGGATTACAGGTGTGGGCCACCATGCCTGGTAGAGACCTTGGTCTTGAGGGCAAAAGCTGTGCAGTTGTTCCTGTCCAGTATCACTTTTCTGGGCCAACTCCTCCTTTCTGCCAGAGGGGGTGCAAAGCCCATGGGGTGTCAGAGCTAAAAACAGTTCAGAAACTGCCTCATTTTACATGAGGGGAGACCGGAAACACAGAGGAATCTCGTTACTTCCTGCAAGCCTGAGCCGTGTGCCACACATCAGGCCACACCTGGTCAGATGGGGAAAGATGTAGGTTTCCAAGAGCAAGGCTGCTGGCTCCCAGGTGACTCCTGTGGCCTGTGAGGAGCACTGGCAAGACTTCCCAGGGACTCAGCAGGCATGAGGGGCTTGAGGGTTTTGAGCATTTAGGTCTAAACTGAGCCTTTGCTTAAACTCCAGCCTCACCTCTGTGCCAGCCAATTCTCTTGCTCTGGCTGCTGCCCAGTGAACTTTCCACCCTCAGGGCTGATTTGGACTCCCAGGCACAGAAGGGCAGTCTGATGGGCACTTTAGGGCTTCTGTCTCCCCAGCCCTTCCCCTAATCCCAGAAATGCCTCTTCTGGTGCTGCCTGCCTCTGCTCTACCTAATTCCACTTTTCTTTCCACAGATGCTCTTTTTGAGCATGAGCATCCAGGTCAGGAGCAGATGCTGTGTGGTCTCTGGGAGTGCACATGGGCACCCTCTGCCCTCCTGCGCCACTTCTTCCTCTGGCAACCTGCTGGTGGGGCCTTGGAGCCCTGAGGTGGTGGCAGGGTCCAAGCCTTTGTAAAGGTGCCCTATGGGGAGATGGCATTCCTTCGGTGGGTTGCTGAACAGAAAGTGGAACCCCAGGCTGACAGGGGGCTCAGTCTCACCCAAGAAAAGCCTCTGACTTATCAGGCCAGGCTCTCATCCAATTCTGGCCTTGGCCTGCAGCAGGAGGTGAGTGGGGTGCCAGAGGGAAGTGGAAAAGAAAAAGAGTCAGTGTCCTCTTTTCATCTCGACAGCTCAGAACTCTTCCTTGGGACTGGGTGAGGTTTCTGGGAAGTACTGGGAGGCAGTGGGCAGCAGAAGCTGCCTCTGGAACAATACCAGGGCATGTTCTGAGAAAGGAGCCAGGCCTTCTTATACTCACTAGCTGCTGCTATAGCCCCATGGCAGGAGTGGTGAGCAGGGGATGCTCAGGAGAGGAGTGGGAAGCTGGCGCCCCAGCACACTGCTGCATGGGGAGTGGCCCAACCCACCCAGCTCAGTGAAAGTGGCTGATGGATCTTGCTGACTCCATTCGGCAGGGGCCTGAACACTGGCCCAGGGCTCAGGCGGCTTCCAGCCCCTCACTCACAGGCATGTTGATGTAGGCACTCAGCAGGGGTGCACTCTGGCCTTCCCGGAGCACCAGTACCTATGGAGGAGGTGCCATGGAGTTGGGGCATACACCTGGACCCCTGCTCTCTGTTCCCTGCAAAGGCCAAGCCTGCTTGTCTGCACTGACCTTAATGACAGGCCACTAGGGCTCTGCTGAAGGGATAGGGAGGGGGGAGGCCTCAACTGTGCAGTTACCATAGCTCCACCCTGCAGCCCCTGAGGGCCTTGTCCATACTTACCCTTACTGACCTCCCCAAGGTCCCACCTTCCAAGAAGTACCAGTGGATGGTTTACCTTGATGATGTCTGAGATGCCCTTGTTACTGAGACTCTCCACAAAGGTCTCCAGAGGGTAGCTGAGCCCTGGCACCAGCAAGGGGACCTAGGTTTGGAGACAGAGGATGCCCAGCTACTAGTTGGCAGATCACAAAATGTGCTTGTGCCTGCCATCAGCTGTGTCTCAGGATTTCTCAGGGTGGGCCAGGCCATGGTGCAGTGCTGGGAAGCCAATGCTCCAGGGTCACATGATGGGTCTGTGGTTAAACCTAGATTCCTACCAAGGCCAGGGCTGTTTCTTCTACATTCCAGAGTTTTAAGTTTCTTCTCCTTCTAACCTGGGCTGTGGGGGAAAAGCAGACCCTTTGCTCTGTGATGACACTCTCTGGAGTAGAGAGGATCCCTTTTGGTAGCAGGAGCAGCTGGGAAGCAGGCTGGGGCTTCTTGGCCACCAACAATGTTGGACAGGTAGGTAGGACTCAGGCTCTGCTATTCCCTACCACCTTCTGTATGGCTCCTGGGCCTGTTAGACTGGGAAAAAGGTGGCAAAGGCAAGGCCTGGTGCTCCTTCCAGATGCCCACCTGGTGTCTGGCTGAGTTGGTCTGTTGGCCACCTACTAGCCTACTGCGGACTGGTGAGCATCTAATCAAGACCCTGCCCTAACCTATTGTATCCCATGACTCAGGGCGGGTTGTGGGCGGGGCTAAGGGGAGATCTAGTACCTTGAAGAAGTCCCGAGGCAGGGCATAGAGTGCCTCGTTGTACAGGAAGCAGATCAGCAGCCCTGTCACAGGGCGGACTGTTGAGGTGTTCTGCAGATGAAGCGTGAGCTTGAAGGTGGGCCCCAGGCCCTGGACCTGTGGGGATGGGTGGAAAAGGCCCTCAGGACTGAGGGCTTTGGGCACTGAATCCAGGAGCCTGGCCCTGTCTGCTTCTTCATCAGTGTCCTCAAGTTATCCCAACAACTGCTCTAGTGCTTTATCTATCTGCCTTCTTCAAAATGCACAGAAGATAGACGGGGCAGCAGAGGCCTGGAGAGGAGAGGGCCTCGATGAGACCACCTAGCAAGGTGGAGGCAAAGCCAGCCAGGCTCATGGCCCAGCTCCCTCCTGCCCGCTCCCCAGGCCTGTTCTACCTCCCACCCTTGTCCTGGTAGATGAGATTTTCTCCCTCGCACCCTGAGTTCCTCTGTCACCCCTTCCTCCTCTATATCTATCCACTCTCTTTAGGAACTAAGTGATTAGAAACCTGGGTAGAGCAGACAATACACATAGGGACCAACTGAGAGCTGGCTGTAGCCTCGTGGTCACTCAAATTTGGGCATGTGTGGGCTTCTCCTCCCTCACGCCCAGGCATACTGCCTATGGCCAGACCAGGCTGGCCCTTCTCTGTACCAGGCGGTCCTATGGCTACTGAAGCAAACAGTATTCTACTCTATGCCATTAGATCCCTTGAGGCTCCTGGGAAGAAATGTTCCAAGGTGACACTCTGTGCTCCCTGTCCCATGTCTAGGAGCACAACACAGAACCAGGGGGCTGAAGAGGAAGTCTCCTTCTGCGGCCAGCCACAGAAGAGGGCAGTACAAGAAGCAAGACGGTGAAGGCAGCTCTCCCAGGAGGATATGGAGGGAGAAAGGGAGCCTGGGGTTTACTCCATGGCATTGGCTCTGGGGGCTTAATTGTGTGGCCCTTCTGACCTCTGCCCTCTGGCCCTGATACGCCCACACCTGGGTGCTCACCACAGCATGCAGCTTGAGCGGTTCCCAGGCTGTGGCCGACACGGGGCTCAGGCTGGACTCAAGGGCCTGCACGTAGGCGCGGGCTGCCCGGAGGCGCAGCAGGTAGAGGTCTGTCTGGAAGCTCCGGTGCATGGCTGTGAAGAGAATATGAAGGCTGAGGCTGGAGGGAGGCTGCTGTGGGGAGGGTGTGAGATAGATGCAGTGGGCAGGACCTGCAGAGGCTGGGAATGTGGGACAGGAAGGACTGAGGCCAAGCCTAGCCTTTTGGTGACCCAGCTGTGGACTATGCTCTAATTCCTCTCCATTGGTTCTCCCACCACCTTGCTGTCTGCACATCTTAGTCTCCTTCTGTTCAGCTCTAAAGTCTAGTGTTTCCTGGATTCTGGGCCTTGGCTCATTCTCTTACATTTCTTTGTCCCCCGGACAACCCAGGGCCTGTCTTGGCTCTGACCATCCCAAAGTGCAACAGCTGCTGGCCCCTATGAACTGGGACCTTGTTATTCCCATGTCCCTCCACATTGTGTGTTGTCTCCAACAGCATCTGGGCATCTAGGCCTGCAGCTGCTTAACTGCCCCATGGTCATCTCTCCCTGGGTGTCCTATAACACCTCAAGTTCAACACTGTGGAAGCCAGCCTCACTATCCTCCCCCAGTTACTGCATCACTGTCCCCCAGGCCACCTTGATTTACCCCTCACCCTAACCCTTTGGTAAGAGCAGGTAACTAACTCTTCCTCAGCTTGCCCCCAGAGTCCCCCGTCCCTGCTCCTGCCAGTCCTCCTCTGTCCAGACCCAATATTTTGGTCTGTTTTTGCTTTTCTATTTTGTGTGAGGTGCCTTTTGCCATTTGGAAGTTTTACATCTTTATTTTATTTTATTTATTTATTTATTTATTTTTTGAGAGAGAGAGAGAGAATTTTAATATTTATTTTTAGTTTTTTTTCGGTGGACACACATCTTTGTATGTGGTGCTGAGGATCAAACCCGGGCCGCACGCATGCCAGGCGAGCGCGCTACCGCTTGAGCCACATCCCCAGCCCCAGTTTTGCATCTTTATGTTATCCCACTTATTTATCTTTCCTTTTTCCTCTAGTAGTTTTACAATTTACTTATTTATTCATTTATTTATTTTTTAGTTTTAGGTTGGCACAATATCTTTATTTTATCTTTATGCGGTGTTGAGGATCGAATGCAGTGCCTCACGCATGCCAGGCGAGTGTGCTACCACTTGAGCCACATCCCCAGTCCACAATTTATTTATTTTAAACTTTTTTTTTTTTTTAGTTGTTGATGGACCTTTATTTTATTCATTTATTTATACCTGGTGTTGAGACTCGAGCCCAGTGCCTCTCACAAGTGAGGCAAGCACTCTACTACTGAGCCACAACCCCAGCCCCAATTTATTTTTAACCTAACCATAATTAACTTTTGTGATTCATATAATTCCCTTAGAAGCAAGTTATTCTAATTGTACTTTGTTTTTTTAAGAAACAGAGTCTCTATATGCTGTCCAGGCTGGCCTCTAACTCCTGGGCTCAAGCAATCCTCCCACCTTGGCCTCCAGAGTAGCTGGGACTTTGTGTATGCGCTGTACCTGACTCTAATCATGGTGTTTGTACAGTTGTGCCTTTCCCCACTAATCTGAAATGACACCTTTAACACATACTGACTTGCCACACATACAAGGCCTTTTCTGAACTTCCAGGATGTTCCTAAATGACTTTTGTCTCCTTCCACATCAGCACCATCAACTCCTACAGTTTTGTAGTTAATTTGCAATCTTATAGGGTAAGTTCCTTCATTTTTATCCTCCCAAAGTTCTCAGATTTACTCTTAGAATCAACTGATCAAGTCCTTAAAATGAACCCCATGGGAATTTTTTCTGTAACTCTGCTATTTCTAGATTAATTCTAGAAGGATTGACAATTTTACCAGTGTGTCTTCCCACCCTGAGATTTGGTCAGTCTGTCCATTCAGGTGGCCTCTCATGTTTTTGAAGACAGTTTTATAATTTTCTTTATTAGGCTTTGTACATTTTCTTGTTACATTGTTTCTAGGGATTTATTTTAAATGGAAACTTTTTCCATTATGTTTGCCAATTGGATATTATTGGTATATACAAAAGATTGTGATTTTTAAATACTTCACATCTGGTTACCTTTCAGAACTCCCTACTTATGTTTCTGCTACATTATCACTTACATGTTCTAGGTTATAAAAGCCTGCTCTTTTCTCTGTCCTCCAATTTGTCCTTCAAACTGAGACCAAGATCCCTTTAAAAAACTTAGCAGGAAGAGTTACTGCTCTTTTTTACTTGACCTCTTTGCCAGTTCCCCATGCCCTAAACACACATTTGAATGTAGTTTTGCATTCCTGGCCCTTTGGGAACTGGCTCCAACCTGCCTCCCCAGCTACCCGTGGCCACTCGGCCTCCTGGCCTTACAGCTACATGGCAGATGCTGTCTTAAATCCAGGTTAGGGCCCTGAGCTTCTATCCCAGACTCTGCCTAAATTGCCTTTCCCTCCCCACTGTCTGGTGGACTTGTAATTATCTTTTGGCATTAAGTCAATGTCACCTCTCTCTAAAGGTTTTATTGTTTCCCAGGCAAATATTCCTTATTGCCTTATGTGTGTCAACAGCACACAGAAACTACTATTCCTGTCATACAACATGAAGTCTCCTATGTAGGACTAGCCTACTTTAAGGAACCTGGCACAAGGCTTGGCATGATCCTGTAATGAATGAATGAAAAGGGAAAGTTGAACAAGCAGAAAATCTTCATTAGTTTCTACTCTGAAAATACTTGCAGCTAGAAGTGACCGCTGCCCCTCCAACTTTTAAAGGCACCTATCCCTTGAGCAACGATGATATGTAGGTAGGTGCACCTCCCATGCTGTCCCTGACTTGTAGAGGTATGAGACTTGTTGGGTTGGCAGAGGTCCCCCTGATTGCCTAGGGTACCTGAGAACCATCCACCCACTTTTTGCTGTTGGGAACAATGGAGGAGGAGAAAGAGGGGGAGTCTTACCAGTGCCAGCCTCCCGTTCTCTCAGTGTCTGATCCACGTAGAGCCGAGTCTTTCGGGGCACATTAAGTTTTGTGGCTTGGGCTGGTGGGGGACCCACCTCGCCTGTGCTCTCCACAAACACTGCTGTGCGCTTCAGGATCTTAATTATCAGGCCACCACCTAAGGAAGTGAACAGACAGAAACCGATCTGTCCTCCCCAGTTCTATTCAACATTCCCATTCTCTCTGCCCTAAACAATCAACTTAATAGAGAGCCATTTCTATACAGGTCTGTCTTTCTGACAAGACTCAGTTTCTGGAAGGAACGCAATATGTCTCAATAGTGTTCTACCATTAATTCACCCAGCAGCTCCTTGTGGAGTACTGAGACATTCCTAGCACTGTGGCAGGTACTACAATACTTGCTGTGGAGACACGACCCGACCTAAGCCTGGCCTCTGGGCAGCAGCATCCAAGTACTAATAAGCTGTCTGAATGGCAACTCAGACCTGACAGGATGTGTCTGCAGGCCCATCTTTCCATATTTGGGTCTGTTTGTGTTTCACCTCCTTCTCTCCTCTTTCTCCAGCCTGTCCCCTTCATTCCAATGCCAATGCCAATGTCCTTGACAGAACTGAGTCTTCTCACCTCGAGTAGTCATGACAAGGGTGTTGTCCTCCCGCCCATAGCGGCCAAAACAAAGGCTGGTCACTGCATCCTATATGGGAACATCAGAGTTAAGCTGAGGAACATCTTGGAGAGAAAAGCAAGATGGAGAAGATGAGGAAAACCCTGGATAAAACAGGTGAGAGGTGAGGAGAGGCCTGGGGGCAATGCTGCCACCAAAATACTTATTTCCCATCTCCTCTCCAACTTCACTGCCATGGCCACAGTTCCAGACCAAACACCACTGGCCCTGACTTCTGGGGTAGTCTCCTAATCAGTCCTCCAGCCTATTGTTGACCCTACTCTGTCCTTCGTAATGCTGTGTCTGTTGCGTTTGTGAAAACCAACCTCCAATGGCTTTTGTCCTGTCCTCCTTATCAGAACACTTAGGCCTTTGACATCAGACTCCAACCAGCCTCATCCACCAGTTTTCTCCTCTGTACTTCTCCCAGACACCTGCCCTCACAGCACCTGAAGGCCCAAACCTGTTGCTTTCAGATTTTATAGTGAGACTCAGGATAATTTATACCCACACATAATGGTTTCACATGTGATACACTCTGAAATTTCTATCCTATTTTTTAAAATGTTGCTGATTGTAATCCACTAAATTGATTTAATGACTCATGAGAGTATAAAAATCTCTGTTCCAAACCTCATCAAACCTCCTGGATTCTTCCATCAGAGTGCTTCATGACTCTCAACCTTTGTTCATGATGCCCCATCTGGAATATTCTTCCTCTATTTGTCAACTTAGCAAACTAATTTACCAGGTGAGTGGCCATTTGCTCTGTGAAGTGTCCCATGAGTTTTTCCTGTCTACCTTTCCCCTTCCTTCCCCTGGTCACTGGCCCCTCTCTGCTTTTCCAGCCTTTGCTCTGCTGCAGGCCGCCTTGTGTGTTCACATGCTGCGTCTGGAGTGCTGGTTGTTCCCATAGGTTGTGAGCTCCCTGAAAACATCATTTCACACACCCCCCCACCACCCTAAATGGTGACTTGTACATATAAAGTGCTTGAAAAATGTTTCTGAAATGCTTCCATATACTGTCAGGAGAGGCAGCTAAAAATATTCACAAGTGAGATTGGGGCAAGGAGGGATCAATAACAGACGCTGAAGCCAGGGTGGGACTCACCGGGGTGCGGATGATGTTGAGCAGAGCCTTGTCACGGTAAATACGGACCTCTCCATTGGCCAGCCCTGCCATGACAGCCTGCAGACCCCGGGAACGCTGCTCTAGGAGGTTCATGGTCAGGATGGCGGCAGGCATCTGCACAGTCCACAATTTCTTACCCTGGCAGGGAACACAGAGTCTTCAGGGGCTCAGGGATTGGAGTAGAAAGAAGAAGTGGCTTGAAGTTGTGGGAAAGAAGCCAGGAGGTCTTTCCAGCCAAGGGGACTGGGGTGGACATGTGTGGAAGGGCTGGGGCTTGCCAGAGGCCACACCTTGTGAGTAAAGCCGTGCAGACTATCTTGGGTGCTGCCCACCACCAGGATCTTGTGTACCCGGACAAGCCCCACAGGCTGGGAACTCAGCTCAATGCAGTACTTGGGGCGCTTGGAGTCTCTGTGGAATAAAGACACATTTATACTGCCCCAGAGAAAGTTCCTCTCCAATCCCTGGCTGACTCTTCTCCTTCTAAGCCCCACAGCCTAACCAGCCTAACCTCAGAGGAACCCTGGCCCCAGAGCAGATGCCCAGGGGATTGTTTCCACCTCTCCTGCGTTAGCAGATGTGTGACTTTGGAAAACATCATGTGAGTTCTCTACCCTGTTCCCTCCTGCCCTTACTCTGGTGACCTATATGATAGCTTGACATTGCACAGAGCTTTCACTGAGCTTATTTTAGACTGTCTAGCCAGTGCTAGTAGACTTGGGCAGTTTACTAATTTATAAGAAAAAGATGAAGAGTTTTCTCTGGGTAGAAGCCAGTTTCCTGTCCTTCCAACCTGCTTCTCTTAACCAGAAAGTGGGGAAAATTCCTGCTTTCAACCACAGGCAAAGTCCTACATTTCCCTATCACCAAGTCCAAGTCAACATCATGGCGTATCTAATGACTGACAGCCCACTGGTCTCTGGGCCTCTTTCTAGTTACTCTCTGGCCAGCAGAGTAATTTTTAATCTTTTTTTTTTTTTTTGAGATTGGGCATCACTCTGTTGCCCAGACTGGTCTTGAACTCCTAGGCTCAGCCATCCTCCTGGTCAAGTAGCCGGGACTCCAAGTATATGCCACCAGGCCCAGTTTTCCTCACATTTTTGAGCAACTGGTTCCTCACCCCTGGATGGGCATTCCTGATCACCTGGTACTTTTTCCCAATAAGCCTGCATTTTTCCTCCATACACTCATCCAATTTGGAATATCTTGGTTTGTTGACTTTAACACATGCCTCTTGCATGAAGGAAGGGACCATATTTATAGTGTTTTGTTTATGAGCATAGCCCCGATTCCTTGCACAGTGCTTAATAAATGGTAGGTGCTCAATAAATATTTCGGGAATTTAAAAATGTTGCATGAAATATCAAACTAATGCATAAGGAAGTGTCACATACACTATAAATTGATATAACAAATACAAGAGACTTTCTATTTCCTTGCTTTCTGACTGCATTGCTCACCTATTGTGGCTACCTCACCAGGCTCCTGCTTTGCCAGTCCTTGTCTCATAGCCTCCAGATATTCCCTCTATGCTCATGGGCTCAGTCTCCTTTATAAAACTCTCAGCTCTTTTCATTCCCATATCAGAGTCCCCAAGCCCCCTTGTTCATCTTGCTAACCCCGCGAGAAAACAGGTTTCTGCAACATTCCTCTGGCCCGGAGACCATGGCTACCTTCTCAGGATATAGATGTTCCCATTTCGACAGGCAGCTGCAAGCCGGAACTCTACGTCAAACTGGCCAGAAACCTCCAGGAAGACTGGGACGCTGGGAAGGTTCATCTGCAAAGAAGAGGCTCAAACATCCTGCTTTCTCAGAGCCCCAGCCCCTCCCTGGTTTGAAGTAACTCCTTTGAGTCATCTAAAAATCTTCCTTATCTCAAGTAACTCCTTCCTTGTCAAAACTCCCCGTCTCCTCATTTGCTCCCTGCTTGTCACAGGTTAGACTCATATAATTTTTCTGGAGGGAAACGTGGCAATATGTAGCAAAAGTCTTTTAGTCTATCCCTTTGGCTAAACTCTATTGCATCTAGGAATAGAGTTTAGCCAAAGGGCAGTATCTCTACAAGCACCCAAAGATGCTCGGGCAAGGATGTCTACTGCACTGGTGTTCCTAGTAGTGAAAAAAATGAAAGCAACTTAAGTGCCCAACAACAGATGGCAGGTTAACTAAATTAGGCTACTCTAGATAATGGATATGTGTGGCCTTTAAAAAGGCTGATGTGGTTTTAATCATATGACCATATCCTTAATTGATCATATACTTCAATGTGAAAAAAGCTCATTACATGATCCTGTATTATAATCCTGTTTTTTAAATTTCTTTTTTAAAAATGGTACTGGGAATTGAACCCAGGGATGTTCTCCCACTGAGCTAAACCCTAGCCCTTTCTATATATTATTTTGAGATACGGTCTCACTAAGTTGCTAAAGCTGGCCTTGAACTTGCAATCCTTCTGCCTCAGCCTCCTGAGTTGCTGGGATTATAGGCATGCTCCACCATGCCCAACCATGATCCTGTTTTTTATAAACATGTAAAGTTATATATCTATATCCATATAAGAAACTGTCTCCAACCTGCTTCCTTATCCAGAAAGTGGGGAAAATTCCTGCTTTCTAACCACAGGCAGAAGGATACATGCCCCCCCAATTTTTTTCTTTCTTTCTTTCTTTTTTTGGTACTGGGGATTTAATCCAGGAGTGCTTAACCAACAGAACCATCCCTAGTCCTTTTTAATTTTTATTTTGAGACAGGGTCTCACTAAGTTGCTTAGAGCCTCACTAAATTGCTGAGGCTGGCTTGAACTTGCAATCCTCCTGCCACAGCCTCCTGAGCTACTGGGATTAAAGGCAGGTACTACTGTATCTGGACAAAATTTTAATAGTAGATTTCTGTGGGTGGTGGGATTTGGGGATATGAATTCAAATATTTTTTTCTTCATGTTTATCAATAGTTTCTAATTTTTCTACAGTGAATGTGTCCTACCCAGCACTATGTGGGAGAAAAGGGAGGGACTGTAGCCTGGATCTTGGGTGTTCCCAGGGTCAGTCAGACCCAACACTGACCTTGGCCAAAATGGTGAAGGCTTCAGGGTCCAGTACTAGGATCTCTTTGTTCTCAGTGCCCAGCACCAGGCATGACACGGCATCCTCATCAGCCAGGTTTTTCTTCAAGGTGATCATGGTGGTGATGACTGTCTGCAGAAGGACTCTAGAGGTCACTCAAGGAATCCTACACCATCCCCCAGATATCCCTGATGTCACAGGAAGGAAGAAAGAAGGCAAAGAAAGAGGAGGACGAGGACGACAAGGAAGCATCAGAGATGTGACAGATTTATGTGTAAACATGTTTATGCAACAAACCTAACTTCCTCACAACAACAAAAGGAAACAGTAAGTCAATTATGAGCTATCTCTGTGATCAAATCAACGTGGACATTTCCTAAAAATTATGTTTTTAAAAGATTCAATGACATAGGGAATGCTTCTAATGGGAGAGAAAAACAATAAGTAAAGTCATGTTTGTAAAATCACAATTTAAAATATATAAACATGCTGGAAGAGGGCTGGGGGTCTAGTTCAGTGGTTGAGTGATTGCCTACCATGCACAGGCCTTGGGTTGTGATTTTATACATAAGGAAAGGCAATGATTATATACTTCAATGTGAAAAGGGCACATTATATGATCCCGTATCATGATCCTGTTTCTTTTCTTTCCTTTTTTTTTAAATATTTATTTTTTAATTGTAGTTGGACACAAGACCTTTATTTTATTTATTTTTATGTGGTACTGAGGATTGAACCCAGGGCCTTGCACATACTAGAGGAGTGCTCTACTGCTGAGCCACAACCCCAGCCCCTCCTTTTTTTTTTTTTAAATGGTACTGGGGATTGAACCCAGGGTGCTCTCCCACTGAGAGCCCTTTCTAAATTTTATTTTGAGATATGGTCTCAAACAACAACAAAAAACTGCTGAAAAGTTAAGCCCTCAAATACAAAGACTGTTTATCTCTGACAATGAAATCATGGAGGTTTTTTAGGATTACAATGGACAATTTTTTTTTTTTTTTTTTTTGGTACAGGGGATTGAACTCAGGGTCACTTGACCACTGAGCCACATCCCCAGCCCTATTTTGTTTTTTATTTAGAGACAGGGTCTCACTGAGTTGCTTAGTGCCTTGCTTTTGCTGAGGCTGGCTTTGAACTCGAGATCCTCCTGCCTTGGCTGGAATTATAGGCCTGCGCCTCTATGCCCAGCCCGCACATGTTCTTTTGTAATTAAAACTAGACAACAAATAAGAAAAAGGATGCTCCCTTTCTAAGGAATTTCTCACATGAATATTAGCAAAACCAAAACATTTTTCTTTGGAAAAATTAGCTGCCCACTGTGTGATCATCATTAAGAACAAAAAACAGGGACCATTCTCAGCACACAGTAGGATTAAAGGTCACAGAAACATGGATGGACATTAGTGTTCCCAGTCACTTAACCATAACACATGCTTGGGAAAATTGTCCCCTTCTCTTCCAGATAATTAATCCATTTCTCAGTTTGAAGAGTATTCAAAGATGCTAATAACTAAAGACCTGAGCTGTTGATAAGCAGGAACGAGCAATGATTCTCACAGAACTGAGGATCATGTTAACAGCGCAGCATGTGTTGGCCAGCACATTCAGTTAAGGTGGCCTCTACAGGTGTGGATGGTCCCATGAAAAATATGGAGGGAATAAAAGGGAAGCATTTCTTGCCCAATGTTCAGATGGAATGGTTACATAAACTAACTAATAACCAACGAAATAATCAAGAGCTACTAAAAATAAAGTTTTTTTTTTTTTTTTTTTTTTTTTTTTTTTTTACAGTACTAGGGATTGAACTCAGGGTTGCTCTACTGCTGAACTACACCTTAGACCTTTTCATTTTGATCTTGCTAAGATGCTGAGACTTCAAACTTGTGATCTTCCTGCCTCAGCTTCCCAAGTAGCTGTGATTCCAGATGTGTACCCCTGTGCCTGGGCCTAAAAATGGGAGTTTTTGAAGATTATTTGAGGCTCAAAATTTAATGTTACATATTCAAGGGAAGCAGAATGTACAGGACTATTTGTGAAGGAAATGTACCAAAATGGTAAGAGTAATAATCTCTGGTTAGTGAAATTAGAGTCATTTACATTTCCCCTTTACACTTCTCCTTATTTTCCAAAAATACCTTTACCCTCAATAAAATAAAAGCTATACGCAAGTTATATAAGGTTATATATTTATGTGTTAAAAGCTGTAACTATTAACTACATGTAGAAGGTACTGCTGTTTTATGACTTTATATATGTGGTGTGGCTGGAAAGGAAACTGCAAACTCAAACTGGTCTGGTTTGGTTGTAGAACTTGCCACTGATGTTATATGGTTTAAAAAAAAGTAAATATTTTTTACAGGGTAATAAAAAGAGAAGGGGGTGCCAGGCATGGTGGCACACATCTATAACCCCAGCTAATCAGGAGGATCACAAATTCAAGGCCAGCCTGAGCAACTCAGCAAGACCCTGTCTCAAAACTAAAAAATAAAAAGGGCTGGGAATGCAGCTCAATGGTGAGCACCCATACCAGAGTGGGGGTGGAAAAGGACAGATAGATGGATGGAAGGAAGGAAGAAAGGAGTGTTACCTGCCGCTTGATGGTCTTGGACTTGTGTTGGTTCACAAATGCCTCCATTTCACTCAGCTCTAGATGCAGAAACCTGGACACAGAGAAGTGGTATGTGCATTTCCCAGCTCAGTCCATGGCCACTCCCTTCCCCTGGCTCTTCCTAGGATCCTTACCTGAGTGACTGTACAGACAAAGGCACCTCTGCCTTCTCCCTGCAAGAAGAGTGGCCAGTATGGCAGGTTTGGTGGAAGAATGGCCCCTAAGGGTCAGAGCTTTGGGATGCAGGAGTGGGAGTGGGAGGGGTCATGGGGGAGGTGGGCTCTCACCGGATGCCCTCCAGCATCTCTTTTAGGGTCAAGGGGTCTATCCGGTCCTGTGATAGCAAGAGAAAAAAGAAGAGCCTGTGAGCTCCAGCACCCATGTCCTCAGGGAGTCCACACTTCCAGGGGTTCCTCTTCCTTTCTACTTCCCTCCCAACTTTCTTGCACTGAGCCCCAACTTCCTTGATTTGAATCCAGCCTTGGGGCCAGGGCCATCCACATTATCCTCCCTCAAAATCCCTTACTCTTGCTGCTTCTAGTGCCCTACTTTCCTCTTGTGGGCCACTTCTTTTTTTGGTTTCCCTCACTCCACAGATGGGCAAGAGTGTGGCTAATGCAGAGGATTCTCTGAGTTCTGCTCTTCAAAAGCCCTGGTTGAATGCCTCTCTGGGAGCAACTGCTTAGGGACTGAACCAGCAGCTTACCCAGAAGGGCCACCACTGATGCTGTTGGAGATGAACTATGGCCAACCTCCCACAACTGGCCCACCTATGCGCCCACTCTTCCAGCTCAGAGCCTGGCCCTCTTCACCCTATGCCATCTTTGCCTTCTTGTTCCCATGCCCAATGTTGCTTACCTCCTTAGCTTGGTTCCAAAGGTCTTGTTCCAGAGGGTTTAAAGATAAAGGGGGAAGACTGAACTTGAAGTAGGGCCTAAGATTCTTATATATGTAGACACATGGGCCTGAAGCAAGTGCCAGAGCTGGAGTCCGGGTCTCGTGTTGTTCCTCCATGAGGAAGGCAGCAGCAGCAGCTGGCAGAGCAGGCAATGGGTTTTCTGCCAGCACTGTTGGTCCTTTGAGCACCTTCAGACGGGGATGCTTCCCAGCAGGGCCAAGATCTCCCACCACCAGCTGCAGGGAAAAGATTGCTCATTCCAGGCTCAGGGTCCAAGAGATCTCTCCCAAGACCCTCTTCTTGGGCTGGGCCTTTTTAACTAATGCTCATTTCTTTATCCTCATACCAAAAAAAAAAAAAGGCCTTGCCATCAGGCTTATAAGTCCTGTGCCTTTGGAAAAGTTAATTAACCTTTCAGAGCTCAGGTTTCCTGTGGGAAGCCATTCTCGCACGTGATTGGGCACCTCCCTGACTGGGTGTGAGGCATTCCGGCCAAGCTGGAAACACCTACCTCATGATACAAGTGGTGAAAACCAAATGAGATAATGAATTACAGAACCTGGTAAGAAATAGCTGGCAGCTGATGTTTTTATTTATCCATTCATTATTCATCTCAATTTTGTCTCCCCCCTTTCATCCAAGACCTTGCACATAATACACAATTGCTCTACCACTGGGCTAAAAACTTATTTATTTGTATTTTTATTATCTTTATATTAAAATTAAATTTAAAATTTACCTTTTTATTATGGAAAATTCCCAATCACAAAGAAAAGTAGAGAAACTTGTACAACGAATCCCCATAAACCCATTATCAGCTTAGGGCTGGGGATAGAGCTCAGTTGGTAGAGTGCTCGCCTTGCATGCATAAGACCCTGGGTTCATGGGGCTGGGGATGTGGCTCAAGAGGTAGCGCGCTCGCCTGGCATGCGTGCGGCCTGGGTTCAAGCCTCAGCACCACATACAGACAAAGATGTTGTGTCCGCCGAGAACTAAAAAAAAATAAATAAATATTTAAAAAAAAAAAAAAAAAAAAAGACCCTGGGTTCAACCCCCCCCCCAAAAAAAAAAAAAAAAAATCACCTCATGGCCAATCCTAAAATCAGTGGTCTCTTGATAAACATAAAACTCTCACTTCCCTCCAGACTTTATTGTCTGCCCCCAGCTAAGAAATTTGCTCTTCCAGCAAAGAATCATGTCAAGGTAACTAAATTAAAAAGCACGTCTTGGTAGAATCCCCAACAGCATTCTGTTGTGCTTTACAAACTTCTTCAATCTGGATTAGAAAACCAATAGGTTCCTTTCACTTTAGAAGCAAAAATAAAATTAGCCCTAAAAGTGCATTCTTCACTGTACACGTGCATTCCAGATTATGCTAAGTCTCTTTGGAGCCAACAGAAAAATCTCACTTTGGGGTACTTCCCCACCCCCAACTCTGCTGGGGTGACTGGTTTACCTTGTACTCTCCGTCCCCGTGCAAATCTGCCAGGGCTGGAATAAACAAAAAGACCATAAATCAGAGTCTCAAAATCCCAGAGGCTTCGCCATGGAATCTTATTCCCGCACCCTCCTAGCACCAGGGGTTCCTGATTCCAGAGACTCACCCAGGCAGGCGGAAAAGGTATGGATGTTGGCCATGGGGTCGTAGTGCGCGTCCAGCCATTTCGAATTGGCCTCATTGCTGGAAATGGGGGGGGGGGGGGGAATTGGGGAGTGGGTCTCAACGCGAGGGTAAGGAAACTTTGGGGGAGCTAGTTAGTGCCTGAGACCGAGGAGTGCAGTGAGCTCTGAACGCCTGGGTCCCGGTCCCTGCGGCTCACACTTGCGCTCCTAGGGCAACGGTTTCCTTTCTCCCAAGAGTCCTTCCAGGACTGTCAGCGCTGCGCAAGAGCCGCAGGATCCCGGAGTCCGGCGGCCAAGGCACCCTCGTTACACGTGTGGGAAAGGACAACTTGAGAACCCCGGCCCTCACCTCTCAGCTAGGCCGCTGTCGGAATCAGGTGAAGACGCAGCAGCCATCTTCGCAGACGTCGTCTAGGCAACTGGCCCCGCCTCCCCCGCGGCGCAGCGTCCAATCACGCCCGGGCACGGGGAAGCGCGTGTACAAGGGTTCCGGGGAGAAGCTTTCCCGACCAGAGCCTGGAGACCCCATGCTGAACGCACTGAGGCACAGTCTCTTCATCTCTCTTATTTTGCTTTATGGCTTCTGGTTCCTGCAATCTCTGGGTCAGGGACAGGGGTCTCTGGCTTCGAGGCCTGGAGAGGAGCCCCTGATAGGCTTTGAACACCAACAAGGTTAACCTGGTTGAAGAGGCTGCCTTTCTGTAGAGGCTCAGGCTTCGGGAAACTAAACACAAGGGTTAAGGGACAGCGTGGAGTATCCTGACCCAAGTTGCCGGTTTCTAGTTTTTAGGCTTCTGGAATAATTTAAAGTGCAAGAAACGTAGTAAAGGAGGGCTGCTAAAATCGTCCTATTTGTGACTCTGCATCCTGGTTTATTCATGATGTCAAAATCCTGTTGTGGACAGGAGGGCAAAAATTACCCTCCTGCCCATTCCCTAGGTCTCAATCCTATTGTCCTGCCCCCAGCAAAAAGGAGGAATCATGCACACTGTAAGATGGTGGTTGTTTCTAATATTTATTTTTCTGGTTATAAAAGTAATACATGAAGAGCATTGGATTTGGCGAGAAGGTTTTGAGCCCTGGCTTTTTGTCACACGCCACCTGCAAGATCTAGACCAGTCACTGAACTACCAGTTCCTCATCTGGGAAACAGGACAAGAAGCCCTGCGTATGCTCTCCATACATGGCAGTGCAGCTCAAATCACAGAGGAGAAGCACTTGGTAAACTGGAAAGTGCTGACAAACAGAAAGGGTTAGCATCACCACCCTCAGATGAGGTAGCACCAAAGTTTGAGCTCCTGCCCCTCCGCTGACCTATAGGGGTACACACACATTGGAGGGCCACTGGTAGTCCTGGTTTGATGGAGTGGGGGGCAGGGCCACACAAATCTTCTCAAGCCTGGCCAGACTGGGCCTCACTGGGGCTCTTCCAGAACCGAGCATCAGCTGTGGCCAGCCGGGTGAGGACCTCCTCCAACTCAGGTCCATCCTCTGGGAAGCGCTCTGTGAAGGATCTGATGAGGCCAGCAGCTGAGGCCTCGTACTCCAGAAGCTGCACTTCTGAGCCTGGGAATGGACAGAGAGAAAACAGCAGCAGAAAGATCTTAAGAGAAGTACAATCACAGTGATGTCACAGGAGCTCCTAGTTCTTACTGAGCTCTTCTCTTGGGCCACAAATTATGCTCAATATTTAAGTTGATTTTCTAACTTAGTCCTCATAGTCATCTTTCAGGGTAGGAAATATTACAGGGAGAATAGTAATGAAACACCCCCCTCTCATCCTTAAGATTAACACCAGGTGCCGTGTTAGATGAAACAGATATAGTGCTTGGCCTGGTGGGGCTTACAGTCCAGCAATGGCTTCATACCTGTCTAGACCATGGCCAAGTTTCCCAACTTCCCTAAGTCTCAGTTTCCTCATCTGTAAAGTGGGGTGAGCATAGTGCCTCTTCTCTCAAGGAGCTGAGGAATTACATACAATAGTGCATCAAGTGGGTGCTCACAAATGCTATCCACCAGCAGAGCAGCATCTGAGCTGATCACTCACCTGTGAAATGGGCTTGTTCAGAGGGTCCCCTGAGTACTCATGGGGAAGCACTCCCCTCTAACTCATTTCAGCTGCTCTAGCCTCTCACAGCACCTTGGTGCGCTCCACAGCATCTTGAGGTGCATGATAAAAGCGGAGGTTATGGGTTCAGATGGACCAAGTCCTGACTCTGTCTCCCACTAACTGTGTGATCCCAGATCAGTATGCAGCCCCTTTGTGTCTCTGTTTGTTTCCAGCTAAAAAATGGGGATAATAACCATTCCTTTCTGAGTTGTTGAGAGTTAATTCATGGAAAGTTTTCACCCAGTACCTGGCACCCAGAAGTCCTCCAAATTTAGCTATTGTCATTATCACCTCACCATTACAACTATTACCTTTGATAATCCAACCTGTTCTTCAGGCTAGTTTAACCACTTCCTCCCTAGAGCCTTCCCAGATTCTCTGAAGGCAGATGGGATCTTTCCTCCTCCATGTGTTCAGTGCACTGTTGGTATCTTCTGGGCACTTGTTAATGCTTCCCTTGTATAATTGCCTCCATGCCTAATCATTCTTAATGGGCTGTGAACTACTCAAGGGGAGGGCCTGGGTACCTTTCATGTCTCCACCCCTCGGTGGCTAACACAGGGTGGACATATCAAAGCAATGATGATATTGTCCATGGGGCTGGCAGGATTCACTCATTCATTTCATTTGACTATATAGAGTAGCTGTTGCATGCCAGGCCCACGCTAGGGGCAGGGGTATGCCACTTCTGGAGATGAGACGGACAAGAAAATGTCCAATCATGATAGACACAGAAGGAAAATGAAGCTGAAGGATAGAGAGGGATGGGAGTAGGTTACTTTATGTTGAGAGTGTGGGGCAAGTGCCTCTCAGGAGGTGTCATTTAACAGGGACCTGAATGTACCAGACAGGCACAGATCGGCACTATCATGCCAAGAACATGGAACGGTGTGTAAAGAGGTGACAGGGGTGCAGTGGGCTCAGTAGGTTAAAGAAATGTAAGGGCACAGAAGGCACAAGTACCATGCAGGGAGAGCCAGGACTTTTGGAAATGGAATTGAGAAGGCAGAGGAAGGACAGAGCTGACCCTCATCCTGGACACTACCAAGTTCTCCTTTGGGTTCTGCTCAGCCTGCAGAGTCCCAGCTCTTTGCCCGTCCTGATCTGGCACCCAGCAGCCACAATTCTCCGGCTACCGGCCTGGCCTCCCCATGAGCCCCTGCTCTGCCAGCCTTCCTCAGACCTGCTGTCACTGATAACCATGAGAGAGAGAGAGAGAGAGGGAGAGGGAGAGGGAGGGAGAGAGAGAGAGAGAGACAGTGTGTGTGTGTGTGTGTGTGTGTGTGTTTGGTGGTAAATGCTGAGATCTGTCAGGGGAAGGACCACCCCAGACAGCCTTCCCTGGGTCCCCATCAAGGGAGCCCCAAGTCCATTACCTTCAAGGCGAGTGTTGGGCTGAACAATCAGCTTCCGTGACTCCTTGCGCAGCAGCACCGTGTCCCTGAGAGAGAGGAAGCACTCGGGGGGCGCATCAGTGACCGCCGCATAACCCTCATACAGGGCCCTCCCTCCAGCCACATCCCCGGTGGACTTCAGCACCTGTAGGAAGGAAGGAACAGGTGTCTAGGATGGGCACTCCCCTATGTCCATAGGACTCTGCCAGGGGCCACGGCTGGCGGTGCCCAGCCCTGAAGGGTCCGTGCTGTGGTTGAATGTGTTGAGTCCAGAATTCAGAGTTAACACTTAATGGCTAATGTGATGGTATTAAGAGGTGGGGCCTTTAAGAGGTGCTTGGGCCATGAGGGCTCTGTGAATGGGATTGGCCCTTATAAAAAAAGAAACTTCCTGCATCAGCAGGCCCTTCTGCCTTCCACCATGTGAGAACACAGTTCCTCCTGTCCGGAGAATACAGCAACAAGACACTACATTGGAAGAGGAGAGTAGTCCTCACCAGATGCTGAACCTGCTAATACTTGGATCTCAGACTTCCTAGATTTAGAAGTGTGAGAAATAATTGTCTACTCTTTATAAATTACCCAGTCTCAGGCATTTTGTTATAGCAGTACAAAATGGACAATCTGCAAAAATGCTCAGCTGTCACAGGCTGTGTAACCTTGGATAAGTTACTAAACCACTCTGAGTTATTATCTTTAAAGGGGAATAGTCTGCACTCTCACAGTGTTGTACTGAGTGAGTGACGAATGTGGCTCAAGTGCTTAGCACATAGTAAATGCCCACTAAACCAAGGTGAATGTTTCTCACTTGATGTTTTGACAAGGTAGGCATCACAACACCTTTTTAAATAAAACATTTCAAATATACATGACACAGTATGCTGTAAAGAATAATGAAACAGATGCCCATGTGTCCAAACAGCCCACGTTAAGAGTGGTCCCCCTTGGGACTGGGGTTGAGGCTCAGTGGTAGAGTGTTTGCCTAGCATGTGTGAGGCCCTGGGTTTGATCCTCAGCAGCACATATGAATAAACAAATAAAGTAAAAAAAAATCCATTGTCAACTAATAAATAATAAAAAAAAGTTGGTCCCCCTGCCCCTACCTGTCTGCACCTGTGGCCTCGTGGCCTCCTCCATCTATGCAAACTGCTGTTCTCAACTCTGTGCTCATTTCTGCTGGGAGCCATTAGCCAAGCAGGTATGACAATTTCCTTGCCAGCGTATCCCATGTTGCTTAGTGGAAGGACTGGTGGAAATAGGACATTTTGCAGTGACATTGCATGTAAGGTGACCTTGCTCAAGGACCAGGGCGGATCCGGGTTTAGGGTGTTCCCGGTTTAGGACAATCCGGGTTTAGGGTGTTCCCGGTTTAGGACAATCCGGGTTTAGGGTGGTTCCAGGTTTAAGGTTATTCCTGCTGGGAATAGGGCGTATCCTGCTGCCTGAGTTCCCCTTGAGTTCTCACGGGTTTCAGACAGTATTTTTTGGGAGACAGAAGCCCAGTGGGGGTGGATTTGGGCAGAGAACGTGGATTTCCCCAGAACATGATTGTAGACGGCTGGTGTGAGTTCGGGAATAAAGAGTTGCTGTTTGAATCTACAAGCTGTGTGGTGGCTCGTGATTTTGTGCCCAGCCAGACGGCGGCACATTTCCCTTGCTGACTCAACATAAAATTCAAATTTAAATTACCTATTTGCCTCTTTTTGAACTGTACACACTGATTCACTTTTCTGCTTCATCGTGCTTGAGATTCATCTGTGCTATTCTCCCAGGCAGCTATTCTCCTCCTCTTCACTGCCATGTCACACACACACAACTTCATCTCTACTGCAGTGGGTGTGTGGGGTGCTAGGATCAAACCTGGGGCCTCCTGCATGTGAGCATCACTCTATCACTGAGCTACACCCTAGTGCTGATCTGTGATTTTGCTGTTAAACGCTGCTATGAGTCCCCTAGTACCTCTTCTGATGAAGATGTGCAGGTTTTTCTAGTATTGATGGTCTGTTGGGTATATGAATGCTCAACTTTTTTTTTTTGAGGGCAGGTACGAGGGATTGAACTCAGGGGTACTCGACTACTGAGCCACATCCCCAGCCCTATTTTTAAATTTTATTTAGAGACAGGATCTTGCTTTTGCTTAGTGCCTTGCTTTTGCTGAGGCTGGCTTTGAATTTGCAATCCACTTGCCTCAGTGACCCGAGCTGCTGGGATTATAGGCATGCACCTCCACGCTGGGTGAGGTTGAACATCTTTTTATACGCTGGTGGGCCATTTGTATGTTGTCTTTGGAGAAATATCTGTTCAGGTCTTTTGCCCATGGTTAAATCAAATTATTATCGTTATTTATTTATTTTTTGCTATAAAGTTATAGGTAGGTCTGATAATTTTCCCCCTCCTTTCTTGTTTTCTTTTAAGATGAATTTTAGAATTATACTCTATTATTTTGTGTCTACCCTAGAAATTATAGCAAATGCATTTAATAAAATTGATGGAACTTTTCATCCTTCTCCCAAATTATAAAGATTGTAAGAGCATCTATTCCAAGGCACGTATGATGCTGGGGTCCAGTATTTCATGCTCTTTTGTAACCCCAGGAATTGAACCTTTGTATTGATGTACAAAGTTCACATTGTAACTTAAACCCTTGTATTTATTACTATCTGCATTACACCATTTTTTTAGGTTTATCAAACCTCGTCTCTAGAGCTGATTTTTCTTTTTTCCCTCATGTCCTATAGAAATTTTGTTATTAAATTTTATTTAGTATTTTATTTGTTTATTAATGGTAAACTGTTTTTGCTTGTTTAAAAATGTCTTTAATCCATCGTTGTTCTTGCTGCTTTTGGGGATAGAACCCAAGGCCTGGTGAATGCTGGGCAAGCACTAACCACTGAGCAACACCCCAGCCTAGTCACTCCTATTCTTAAAAGATGAGTTACTGGGTCCTGACAGTAATCTACTCAGCACTTGGCAGACTCGGTTCCACTGTCTTCTGGCTTCCTGGATAGCTATGGAAGCTCTTAAGGTAGTGTTCTTAAGGTAGTGTGTCCTTATTCTTCAGGTGTTTTGAGGGTCTTCTCTGTCTCTGATTTCTGTATCATCTATGATATTTCTAGGTAGAGGTAGAGGCTTCACTTGTCCTTCCTGTTTTTTTTTTTTTTTTTTTTTTTAGCTTTCTGGATTTATTAATTGAAGTCTTTAATCAATTCTACATTATTCTCAGCTATTATCTGTTCTCATGTTCCTTCTATTACTTCTCTCTCCTTTTCCTTTGGAACTTCGGTTAGATGTACATTAGAATTTCTCACACTCTCCTCCATGTCTCTTAGCCTCCCGTAAATTCCCTATCTTTGTTTCTCTGTTACACATGGTTTATGATTTCTTTTACAGTCGGCTTGATCTAAAACCTGTTTATTCTGCCTTAGTTAATCTGTCTTTTTAAATTCCAGTCATTATCTAGTTTATTTCAAGGTGCTCTATTTGGTTCTTTGCCAAGTATCTGACATTTTGTGGGTCTGACCCTTGTTTGTTCTGCCCATCTTCAAGTGACAAAACAGGCCCTGAGGCTAGGCTCTCTCCTGGACAGCCTCTGCCTTCTTAGACCCAGGGTTAGAATGACTTTCCCAGCAGTGGAGCAAACAGAACCAACTGGGAGCCCTGGGGAAAGGCTCCCCTCTCCCTCCTAATAGCACTTAACACCCACAAGGTGCTGAGTACCCACCAATCAAGCTGATGTGTAGATTCTGGGAGTTCAAATGGGACAGGTGGCAACACATGCCAAGGGGAGGCAGACAGTGTCCTACCCAAGTGGTTTAGGCAGGTGGAGGCCTCACCCACAGGGCCTGGTCTCAGATCCTCCATGAACACCAAAATCCATGAATGCTCAAGTCCCCTATTTCACATACTTGCCTCAAACCTAAGCACCCATTTGAATATATTATAAATAATCTCAAATTATTTGCCATACCTAAGAAAATGTAAATGCTGTGTACATAGATGTTTAGGGAATGATGACAAGAAAAAAAGACAGTACATACACAACTTTCCCCCCAAATATTTCCACTGTGCAGCTGGTTGAATCCACAGACATAGAACCCATGGACACAGAAGGCTGACGTCTGAGTGACAGGGAATGGTGAGGACCACGCCAACCAGAGAGCCCACGCCATGTCCAGCCCTGGGCTGTGGCTCAGCTCCCCTAGCAGTTCTTCATGTGGGAATTAAGCCTGTGAATGGTAGCTTCCAAGAGGCCAGAAATATAGATTTATACCTTTGCCAAATTTTATCAAACTAGGTGGGTCAAAAATATGGCTGTTTGGGACCCCTGGTTGAAAGCTTTCCCTGCCTGCCGTCTCACTGCTGTGCCCTTAGCTGTTATGGAGGCTGATATAACATATAATCACCCCCAAAATGATTCCGTATTCCATAATTTCTGTACAATTGTTGCTGAGGACACTGTCCATGATGCTGCATGATTTTCCCAATACAGAGAACCACCTGGCTCAGTCCTTAAGAGGGGCTCCCAGAAAGTTCCATGCCGATTCAATGCTCAGTGGCAGTTCAATTTGGCCTTGGGGTTGGTAGATTTGATTCTTTCATCTAATGACTTGTTATTAGCAATAAATTTGAACTTGGAATGATTTAAGACTTATTGCCAAGTTGCATGGAAAGTCCGGTGAGCTCCCATAAGCCCCTAGTGCAATTTCCCTTCTTGGTACCTCTTATATAGCTGGTCAACTACTATTAACTTAAACTCCATCTAGGTTTCCCACTAATGTCCTTCTTCTATTCCAGGGTCCAACCCAAGATGCTGCCTCGTGTTTTGGATCTAATGATTTTTAATCTCTAACTTTCTTTTGCTTCACTGTCCTTGCCTCCCCACAGTGAGAAACCGATTACAGGGGGACACTTGCTGAATGACTAAGGGAATAACCTTGAGGCTGTGAGGAGGTGTCAGCAGTGTGGGGAGATGGGGCAGAAGTTGGGGGGCGTCAAGGCACGAGGCCTTCACTCACCTGCAGTCTCCGCAGGAACCGCTCCAGCGCAGGCCTGCCCACAGACCGGATCTTGCTGCGGTCTAGGCGGACCCGGGCATCTGGGCGGCCATCAGAACCGGTAGTGGGAGTGACGGTCACAAGTCCCTCGCCCGCCTCCAGCAAGACCCGCAGGATCACAAATCGGGCCTGCATGTGAGCCTGCCAGGGCCAGGGGGAAAGAGGTCATCTGTAGCCAATATCAAATGCTTGGTCCAAGCCTAATGTGCCCCAGGGGCTTACTGTCAATTATTACTGTCATTTTCTTCTCCCTGACCCTCTGAATTTTTTTCTGATCTCACTTCAAATGCTTCTTTCCCCTTCTCTGCTCACAGGGAGGGCAAACTGCCCTGGGGGATAGGGAGGCTATTTCTAGGTATGACCTGATATTCTTGGTCCCCTATGTCATCCAACATGCCACCTGCTCCTCCAGACCCTCCGAGGACAGCAGGTACCTCTGAAGGCCCCTCACTTTCAGGACCTTGAGCACTTTCTGCTCCACAATCTTATTTGTGCTAAACAGCAGGACCAGATAGGCATCATTATCCCCAGCTTATAGAAAACAAAACAGAGGCCCCAGAGAGATACAGTGACTTACTCAGGGTCACACTTAGCTGTTAAATAAATAGTCAGGACTCAGACCCCAGTTTCCAGATTCTAAAATGTGTATACTTTTGATAACATAAAACTGCCTCCTCAAACCACACTTTCTTGATTTTGTAAAAAAGTTGCTATTATTTACTTTTTCCAAAACCCATGCTAAAAATGAGCACTTGAATCTAATGGCTCTGGAGGTGGACTGTGGGGATTTGAATCCTGTCTCTTCCTTAGCAGCCAGTTAATGGATCTCTTTGCGCCTTGAATTCCTCATCTCTACAGTGAGGTAATAAAACTGCCTCCCTCCTGGGGCTGAAAGTGGGGGCAACAGTTCAGTAGCGCACCATGTGAGCACTGTGCCAGGAGCAGTCAGGCATCCGTTAGTGACAGCAAAAATATCTACTTGATTGACCCTGAAAGGTGGCCAGGGAGAGAGGGTGCCTCCCACCTCCCAGGCAGGGGCACTAAAGCTCACTGCAGTGACATGACTTGTCCCACCAACCGTGGACTCTGGATTAAACCCTGTCCACCTGCCTCACAAGTACCATTGTCCCTGCACCCACAACTCTGAGCTTGGCTCGTCTGCCTCCTCAGGGAGGCCCAGCCCCACCTGGCGCCAGTTGGAGGCCTCTGGGGTGTAGAACTCCAGAGCCAGCAGCCCAGCCCGAACCATGTTGAGCCAGTTCACGTAGATCACATCTTCCGCATCAGCCCCCTTGAAGCCGAAGATCCTGGGGGAGGAGGGGCAAGGAGCAGGCACAGTCAGGGCGGCCCTGCCTTCCCTGGCGGCACCCGCACCCCCTGCACATCCACTGCTCCTACTCCAGCACTTGGGGGTTGAGGCAGAGGTAGAGGCCCACGCTCTCAGCCCGGCACTCTTCGTAGCTCGAGGCAATGGTGCTGAACTTGCTGTCCCAGGTCTCCCCACTCCGGTACCAGCTCTGAATCTGGGAGGAGAGCCATGAGTCAAGCCCTGACCCTGCCCGCACCCAGCATCCTGGGCTCCACAGAGATGGGGCTCCACAGAGCCTGTCCTCACCTGCTCCCCCGTCTCTGGATTGATCACTGTCTCCTGGTCAAAGTTGAACACTCCCTTCTCATCCTGCAGGAATACGGGTAAGGGAGGCGGGGATCTTCAGCTCTGGGGTCCCCAGGCCAAGGCTCAGCTCACAAAGGCGAGCCAGGGAGCAGCAGGGTGGCAGTTCGAGCACCACACCGATGCCCGCACATCGCAGTCCTAGGACTCATCTCATCTGTGTGGCTCCCTGCTGGGCCCACGGCTTCCTCAGCTGTCTTTCCCATATTCCCCTAGTGGGTGTCAAGGGCTCTGGTCACAGTGGCAGGTTGGGACATCTCTGGGGAGATGTGGCTCCCTAAAATACCTAGGAAGGTACAGGCTCGGGGAACAGCTGCGTGAAGACAGTCCTGCAGCCTCGGCGCCACCCCAAGGCTGACCTTCCCAGCCTCTGTCCCTGCAGCTGCCCAGGTCACACCCTCAAGGTGGGTTCCTCAGCCCAAGCCCAGCAATTCTTCCTGGTTCAAGGGCCACCAATGGAACTGTTCTGGAGACCTCTGAGCTCCTGGGTCATCTTGGGGAAGACAAGACAGAGTCTTTCTTCCCTGCTTAAGGAGCCCTCTTCCCCAAAGCCCCCCAGGGCAGAGCAGATTCCCTTCCCTGAGTCGGGTTGTGGGGGTGAGGGAGGCTCCTGCGGGCACGGGGTGGCACCCTTCTCACCTGGGCAAAGAGCTTGCCACTGCCATGGCCCAGCAGTTCGTGCAGCCCCACCTGCACATCAAAGGAGGGCCCCTTCCAGCGGGTGTACAGGTCCTGCCAAGGCAAGCAGAGTCCCCGCTGTCACACGTCCCACCACGGCCACCCGGCCTGCAGGTAGAAGGCCCGTCGTGGTGCGTGTGCTTGGAGGAGGCTGAGTGCACTCCGATGCCACGTAGCAACAACCCAGGAGGGAGGGGTGCCTTCATCATGACCAGAAAGCACACAGGCTCCAACAGGGCCACGCAGTCACTGGCAGGGAGATGGCCAAGCTCCGACCAGAGTGCTGTCCCTGCCACAGCTCTGGGCTGTCTGCCTTCCTGAACCTGCCAGGCCAGGTGAGGCCGGCCCCGCCCCTCGGGCTGCTGGCGCCCACCTTGTCCTCCTCCTCCAGGAACGTGAGCTTCTCCCGTTGTGTGGCGTAGGCCACAGCCAGTACATTCCCCAGGGACACGTTCTTAAAGCCTTCGGTCTGCCTCAGGTCGTCGTCTGGAAGAGAAGGCCAGGAGGGGACCAGAGAGATGGACGAGGAGTGTCAGGGGCGAGGAGTGGCCGGGAGGGTGAACAGGGCAGGGCGGTTTGTGGAGGGGAGGGGCGGCTCTCCATGGGCTCCTGGTGGCTAGGGGTACCAAGGAAGCTCACAGTTGGGGATGTTGATGCCAGCAGGGATGCCAGAGCCAGCGAAGGTGAGGACATCAAGGGAGGTGAAGTCTGGGGTGAGGAACTTGTCCTTCTCGAAGGCTGGGGGCCAGGGCAGCTCCTTCAGCAGCTGCTCCGCGCTCTCTACCAGCCGCTCGAACTTGGCACTCATGGCCTTGTTCACCATGGCCACAAATCCTGCAGGGCAGGACAGGGTGGAGGTTTGGCAGAGTCCTGGCAGGGATCCCACACCACCCAATTCAACCCCTGTGGCCATCGCATTAATGTCTGCTCTTGCTGTGGCCCTGTGCTAGCTGCTAGGGACAACAGTGACACAGACCTGGGCCCTACTGCACCAAACCCTGGGTAGGAAAGCTGCAGGTACATGAACCCTTCTCCCCCTCAGGTCCCTGGGCTTGGATCTGTGGCTCATAGACAAGCCCCAGTGGGCTGTGGGAACAAGGCTCCCTCCTTGGAGCTACTCCCTGGCTTCGGCAGCTGATATACCAGCCCAGACAATTACGAATCCTCAGGCTGGAGGCCCTGCCCTGCACAGGGGGGCCCCACAGGCAGGTTCACAGTCGGTGGAGCACAGCAGTCTGCATATATGCTCTCACTGAGGCTCATAGGTCACATTACATGGTCCCAGGTCACAGAGATGGTGACGGGCAAAGCCTGCTCAGAATGCATGTCTGTCTGCCTGGAGCCTGCCCTGACCACACACCAGAGGCAGCACAGCAAGCTGGCTTGGAGCCGGAGTGCCTGGGTTCACCACCCACCGACAAAATCCTCACAGATGACAATATCTGGGTGAATTTGTGTAGATGAGCTTCACGAGACAGTGCCAGAATATGGTAAATGGTTTTTATTTTGCAAGGCTTTGTTATTGTTATTACTCCTAAGCAGGGAGGGGAGACTTCTAAGGGGACACTTAGAAACATGAACTTGGGCCTTGGGGGAAAGGATCCCAACCTGACCACGGGCAACCCCCCAAGTTACCTTCAAACTCTCCTCGGGAACCAAAGGGGTCTCGGTAGCTCTCAATAAACCCGATGTAACTGGAGGAGAGAGAGGTGCAGATGGAAGAGGGTGGGCAGGAGGGGCGGGGCAGCGTAGGTGGTCACCTCACCTCTCCACGATGGGGCCTTTGTCCTGGATCCAGAAGCGGGAGCCCCTCTTGTGGGCCTCAATGGACCCCTGGGTGAAGCTTTCGATGTACTGGGCCAGCATCTGCTCCTGGTGGCTGTTGGCTGCATATGCCTGGGGGTAAGCAGGGTTGGTCAGCCTCAGACCACCCACCTGTCCCCAAGTCCCATCTGCTGCCCAGGGGGTCCTGAGCCCAAACCCCTCAGCCCAGCCAGCCTACCTTGGCTTTCTCCAGGTGATCCACCACCTTCTGGAGGAGGGGGGCATAGTCCCCCCGGGTCACCTGGAAGTGGCTCCCCTGGAATTCGTAGCTCTTCAGCTTGGAAGTCAATTCGGAGTCTAGAGCAGGATCTGAGGAAAGAAGGGCGGCCGAGAGGAGGCCAATGTAAAATACTCAGCGGGCTCTTCATCATGGCGCTCTCACAGTAAGATCATCAATGACTCCCTAGTGCCAGCAAGAATCACCATGAACTCTCATTTTAAAAGAATCTGTAACTGGGCTGGGAATGTGGCTCAAGCGGTAACGTGCTCGCCTGGCATGCGCGGGGCACTGGGTTCGATCCTCAGCACCACATACAAATAAAATAAAGATGTGTCTACCGAAAACTGAAAAATAAATATTAAAAAACTCTCTCTCTTAAAAAAAAAAAAAAAAGAATCCGTAACTGGGCTGGGTTGTGGCTCAGTGGTAGATCCCTGACTAGCATGTGCGAGGCACTGGGTCTGATCCTCAGCACCACATAAAAATGGGTACATAAAATAAAGGTATAAAAAAAGTTGTGTCTGTTTAAAAAATTAAAATAATAATAATACGTAACCTGTGACATTCTAAGTGCTTTCTATGTGTTAACTTATTTAATCCTCATACCAACCCAGGTGGGGAGTGGGAATTATTATCTCCACTTTATAGATGGGGAAACCAAGGCACTGAGAAGTTAATAAAGTTTTCTAAAATCATGTTGATAGCAAGTGACAGAGCAGGGATACAAACCCAAGGAGACAGTTTGTATTTAGAAAGAGTCACATCCTAAAATTGATCACAGTGGTCCTCGTGGAGAGGCAAGAGGGTGACAGGAGTAGAAGCTTGTAGACAGAATTAAGCTGGGGTGCAGTGAGGAGGGGGCCACAAGCCAGGAGCTGCAGGAGGCCTCCTAGGAGCTGGAAAAAGCAAGGAAACATCCCCCTGCAGGCTCCAGAAGAGCACAGCCCAGCTGACACCTTGACCTTAGACTCCCGACCTCCAAAACTGTTCAGGAATGAATTTGTGTTGTTTCGTGCCACGATATTTGTGGCAGCTCATTACAGGAGCAAGGGAAACTATCACGCTGTTGTTGTTTGTATTACTGGGGACTGAGCCCAGGGCTCCTTCCCACTAAGCTACACCCTCTATTCTTTTTAAAAAAATTTTTTAGACTGGGTCTCTCTAACTTGAACTTGTGATCCTCCTGCCTCAGCCTCCTGAGCAGCTGGGATTACAGGCACATGCCACTGTGCCTGGATACACTGTGGTATTTTGTTTCTCTCATCAGTAAAATTTACAATTGTCCCTCCTTATTTGTGGATGACACATTCCAAGTGGATGCCTAAAACTAAAGATAGAACTGAACCCTGTATATATTTTGCTTTGCCATGATGAACTTTAACATGTTAACATGGTAACAGATTAGCAACAATAACTAATAATAAAATAGAACAACAATATACTGTAATAAGAATTACTTAAAACTTCTGAATAGTTTTATTTATTTGAGGAATAGGGACTTAACCCAGGGACACTTTACCACTAAACTACATCCTCAGCCCCTTTTATATTTTATTTTGAGTCAGGTCTCACTAAGTTGCTGAGGCTGGTGTGCAATCCTCCTGTCTCAGCCTCCTGAGATGTTGGGATAACAGGCATGCACCCACCACACCCAGCAAATGGTTTGTTTCTGAAAATGGTCTTTTCAACATTTGAGGCCATGGTTGACCATGGGTGGTGAACTGAAACCACATAACTTGCAACCATTGATAAGAGAAGACTACTGGACCTTCCATCCAACTCCAGACCTGCAGTCTGTAAGCATAAAAAGGTGGTTTTGTATGGTTAAATTTTGGGGGTGCTTGTTACACAGCCATAAGTAACTGATACACTCAAGCAGATTGGCTCCAGAGCCATACTCTTTAAAAAAAATTTTTTTTGTGTGGTGCTGGGAATGGAATCCAGGGCTTTGTGTATGCTAGGCAAGTGATCTACCACTGAGATACACCCCCAGCCCAGAGCCACTCTCAACCACTGTCCTATCCTGTATCCTGTGGCAGTACAGGCCCAACTTCTTTGTTGGCAGGATCCCCTCCATTGCCTAGACAATATCCTTTTCCCTAGTCAAACCAAACTGCTCGCTGATCCCTCGGCTTCCCTACCACCCTGCTGAGGCTCTCACCACTCTCTCCACCTGAAGGCAAATTCCCATTTGTCCTCATTTATTCCTGCACTGAGTCCCTGAGTATCTGCCACATGCTAGGTGCTGGAGAGACAGTGATGGCTGAAACACCCAATTCCTCCTCCCAGGGCATACAGTCAAGAGGGGGAAACAGAAACACAGGGAATTACTGGGGGGTCCTGGGAGGCAAGAAGAGACAGCAGAGACTTGCCCGAGGGATGACAAGGTATTGGCAAAGGTAACATCCACACCTGGCTTGGGGATGAGTGAACATGGAGGGCCCAGAGGGCCTTCTGGGTAGGAAACAGATTGTGCAAAGGCCTGGAGAGGGGTTTAGGAACCAGACGCTGCGGAGCGCAGCTACAGCACAGTGTGTGTGGGGGAAGGGGGGCTGGGGGATATGGGCAGGTAAAGGAGGACCAGAAAATGTCCTCACAGGGTCTGGACATTTCCACCCACATCTGCCTTCACCTCACAGCAGAATCCCCCTAGTATTACCACGACCTGGCCAGGTGGTTTGCGAGGGGTAGAGCTCATTGCCTGGCTCATGGGTGGGCTTGAAACCAGGCAGAGCCCATCAGAGACCTGTCCCTTGCCCACCTATAAGGACTGGTTCACAAATAGAGACTAGATCCACTCCTTGGCTACATGCAGAAACTCCTGGGACAGAAGGACCCTCTTTCTCTGGAGTGGCCTGGCTAGTGGTCTAAGCCACCAGGATCCAGAGTTGCTACAGAGAAAAGTGGAAGGGACCTAAGCGCACCTGTGCTGAGCACGGAAGCCAGCCGCACCTCATAGCAGGGCTTCCCTTCCTGGTCGACATCCTTGAAGAGCCGTGTGTTGTAGGCACTGAGGTTCTAGAAAAAAACAAGGCAGGGGTTTAGGGGAGAAAAAGATCCAGAGAGGGTAAGGGGCTGGGAAAAGGGAAAGTGATGACTGTAGGGGGATCGCAGAGAGGCAAAACAGGCCGAGGGATCTGGTCGAGTCAGATGGACAGGGAGCAGGTACGGGCGGGCAGGCCGGGGCTGAAGCTCCTGCTCTGCTACCTACACTGAGCACCAGTTTTTATTAGTTATGGACTGGACGTGTCAGGCACTGCATGGCTGCAGCTGACCCAGAGCTACACGAGGTGGGTGCCCTTCACACAGCTGGTCCAGGGCCCAGGCTTAGAAACGCACCTCTGATGTTTTATCTCATCCTGCCCCGAGGCTGTCATCAGGCCCCGTAACCTGGCATGGGCAGGGTCAGCTCTATGCCTGGCATATCTGGGACATCTGGGTGACATCCTCTTGGTTCGTGCAGGCTGATCTCAAGGACAAGGATGTCTGAGTCTTTTCCACCTTAAGGACCCAACATGCCTGTATCTCTGGGTACAAGCTGAGACTCAAGGGCAGGCATGGGTCATGAGGGGGCTGACAGGAGGACCCCCTCACACCATTGATGAGTCCCCAGTCCCCGAACCTGGGAATCCAGAAAGTCTTGAGCCAGCTTGGCATCCTCCATGGTACAATCCCCAGAGAAATAGGTGGTGATTCCCTGTCGGAAAAGAGGGGAAGGTGGGAAAGAGGAGTGGCTAAGATCAGGAGTGGGGGGCTTGGAGGGACAGCCTCCCAGTCTTCCTACACCTCTTCCCAGCAGCTTCTATCCCCCCCCCCTTTCCAGGAGAAAAAAATTATAAAACAAATGGATGTCATCTTGGGCCTTTCTGCAGTTCTGCCCAACTTCTACAGCTGGCCCACCCCCAGGCTGCCACGCCTCTCCCCTGCAACCCAAGCAGCCTCTAGAAGTGGGCAGCCTGGGAGCCCTCCTTCCCCAGCCTCCATCCTCAGCGCCTTCCACCTCCGGGCTTTTCTTTCCTTCCCTCCTCCTTCATACAGCATCCTGGCAGATCAGAGCTGGAAGGACATGCAGGAAGCATTCCCTCCAGCCTCCTTCCCAATTTACAGATGACGAAACAGGCCTGCAGTGGACAGCAGCTTTGCCTGAGAGAGACAAAGCCCAGTGCCTTCCTATCAGCTGCCCTTCCCTTCTCCCCAAGGGCACCCTCCACTTGCCCAAGCAGTCGAGGCCTCACCTCCTTCCCCAGCCCGAGGTGCCGAAGTCTCGGCTCTAGAGAGAACATAAGCTCCCCGCAAGTCTGCCAGAGGTCCCTGACTTCTTTTGGATGCTGCTGCGCGGCCTTACTCCCCAGGATCACACGTTCCAGCTTCTCCTGTGGGGGAAAGGAGGTCACTGGCTTGATCATGCTCCCCTCAAACCTGCCCTCCAGATCCCCCACCTGCGCCCAATCTCTTTTGCCTCAGAGTGTGGTCCAGGGTCCAGCGCTGGCTGGGCCTGAGAAGTGTCAAGCCTCGGGCGCACCACAAATCTGCCAAATTGGATGCTGCGCTTTGACATTACCAGGTGACTTGTCCAGGCATTAAGGTCTGACAAGCCCTAGTGTATGAGGTGCATCTGCCCCAACAAGGCTCTAACCTCACAGTCCTTAGAAGGGATGCCCTGGACCCAGGCTCCTCCCCTGTTCTCTGTGATGACCAGTGGGCTCCTTTCTTGCAAGCACCTACTCGTTCATGCTTCCACACCCTGCTCTTCCTTGACCCTCAGATCTGCAAGGCTTTTCCTTTGTATGTGTATGTAGCACAGGGCAAGGCTGGGTGACACCCCGGGTTACACAGTGTGGCAGTGACAAGGCCAAGGTTCTGCTCAGCCCTGGACTCCAGCTGGGGCTCCTTTAGCTATCTATGCCACGCACACCCCACTGGCACCCTGCTTCCCACCTTTCCCAAACCTCCTTCAGCTCACCTTGGGCAGGTTGGGAACAAATTTGGTGTCGCCGAAGGATTTGTAGTTGCCCATATTGGAGTAGACCCCCGCGGCATAGACCAGGAACGCCTGAGGGGGAGATGGTATCACATCAGAAACCTGGGACACACAGCCCTCCCACTGAAGGGAAGTCCCTGCCTGGGACCTGACATGACAAGCACATGTGGTACAGCCAGCATGGGTGAGGCTGGGAAATCTAGGGGCAGGACCTAGAGCCTGGGGAGCCCCAGTCTGGCTCCAAGTTACTTTCACAGACCAATTTCACATCCCTGTGGTCCAGCCATGCTGGTCTCCAAAGTTCAACAACACCCAGTCACCCATCCACCTTTGCTTCCTCTCAGCCACTTATGGCCTTTATGTCATTTAAAGCCCAGTCCCAACACCACCTCCTTCTCTAGAAAGCTTATTCTCAGCTTCCAACCTGTCAGGCAGCGGGCACCGGAAGAAACAATTGTCAAAGCCAGGTAGCCTCAAACATCTTTCTAGGCTATGTTTCTTTACTGGCCCCAATCTAGTCTCACTTTCTCAGCACAAAGAACTCAATCTTCCTTTTTCTGGTGGTGTTTATGGGGAATCTCCTTTCCCCCAGTTCCAGTGCGTATGTAGGCTGTCTTGGCCAGTCAGAAAAATCACCTTCTCTGGCTATAAGGATGAGCATAAGGCTTCAGCTGGCCAATAAGCTCTAACCAGGAAACTTGCCATTGATGAACAGTTTCCTCTTTTATCAGCCCTGGAAATCCTGGAGTGAGGAAAGAAAGCAGAGCTGAGAGATGAAGACTGCACCCTGATGGTAGCACTGAGCCCCTGAATATAGCCATACCTGAAGCTTCCTCTGGACTTTGCAATTATGCAAACCAGTAATTCTTTCATTGAAGCTACTTTGAGGTGAGTTTCTGCTACTGACAAACAAAAGAATCCTACTAAAAATAGTAGCAATTGGGTAGCACCTTCCCATTTATAAACATACCCACAGACTAGCTCTTTTAATGAGAAGAACACAGCCTGGAAATGCAAGGTTCAAAAAAGCTAGAAGAAACAGCACCTCAGTTCAGAGATAAGCAATCCAATCCCTTTATTTAATATATAGAAAAACAGATTATATTCTTGTTCATTCTTAGTGTTGGAATATAACTCAGAGAAGCTTTTTTAGGAAAATTTAACAGAATCAGTTGATAATAAATGTACACAGCCTTCAACCCCGCAATTCTGCCTCCAGAAATAGATCTTTCTCACACATGTGCACAAGAATGCTCACCATGGCACTGTTTGTAAGAAAACCCAGGAACAATCTAAAAGTCCAGCAATTTAAAAAAAAGACTAAATTGATTATAGTGTACACCGTTGTAGAATGCTTCAAAGCCAATAGAAGAATGAGGTAGCCAGGTGCAGTGGTATGCACCTGTACTCCCAGTTACCTGGAAGGCTAAGGCAGGAGGATAGCAATTTTGAGGCCAGCCTGAGTAACTTAGAGACACTATCTCAAAACAAAAAATTAAAAGGGCAGGGATATAGCTCAATGGTAGACAGCTTGCCTAGCATGTACAAGACTCTGGGTTCAATCCCTAATACTGGAAAAAAAAAAAAAAAAAGAAGTGGATTAATATGTAGCCATGGAAGTTCTCCAAGACACAGCATTCATGAAAAAAGCAGTACACAGAAGGTGACAAAGAGCATGATCTCATTTATGTGAAAGAGAAAATAAGGATGTGAAAACTGTGCACATACAGGTATAGGCATGCAAAACACAGACACCAGCCACAATGGTCACCTCTGGAGAGGCAAGAGAAAGAGCAATCTTTGTGTTTTATTCTGGGCCCTTTTGCATTGCTGCAATGCTCTAAGAATCCATGTATTACTTGGCCAATAAATCTATAAACAAACAAAAACCAAAAGACAGGCAGAACATTTTACCCACTGCCAGAACTGGTTCAGAACTCAGACTGCCCAATTTCTAGCCTTGACTCCTTCCTACTTCAAGGTAAGTGATGGCTGCTCACTCAAGGTAAGTAGGCACTGTTCTAAGTGATTCATTACAACATTAAGAGGTACAGGCAACCCATTTGCACTTTTTTTTTTTTTTTTTTTAACAGATGAGAAGACTGAGGTTCCAAGGAGAGGAGGCTCCTGAGTTTATAACATTTGGTTTAATCCTCTCCCTGCATCTTGGTTCCTCACACCCAGAAGCCACTCAGGAAATTAGGGCTGGCCTGGGTGAACTGACCTGATATTCCTCCTCGGTAAGGCCTTCAGCCAGGGCATGTTGGCGCAGTTGGTCAGGGTCCTGGGTGCGGAAGAGGCGGCTGAGGAGAGTGTAGATGTAGGGGGCCTCAGGGGAGGTCTGCAACAGCACAGCCAGGCCTCCGTACCAGGCAGCCCTGGACAGGTGGTGGGCATAGAGGCGCTCTGTGGGTGACAACAGGTGGAAGGCCTCTCGGCAGTCCAGGCTAGATACGCCGATGTCATTGGGCAGGATGTACTGGGTATCCGCCATGGGCCCTAAAGGAACCATCATCACATCTGTCATTCAGCACACCCTAATAGCACACCTGGCTCTGAACTCCCATGAGTTCTTTTGGCCTCTCAAAAGCTCAGGAGGAAGGGAATACTAGTGGATCAGTATTCATGAGATATGCTGAGACTCAGAAGTGGTTAGTGATTCCCCCAAGGAGATTATAAAGTACATACTGAGCCACACCTAGCCTGTGTTCCCTCAAAGTCTGAATCCAACCACCTAGTTTACAGCTGGAGAAACAAATCCAGACAGGATAGGAATCTTGCCTAATCACACTACAGAGGGGTCAGCATCAGAGAACCTCATTGCTAGACTTCCAGTCCAGGTTCCTCCCTATCTTCTCTCCTTCTCTGACCACCTATGCTCCTTGTTCAGAATAATTACCGCCCCCCACCACCATTGTTCAGAAGGACAGAGGGCCAGGTTTCTAGCTGGAAGCCCCAGATCCCAAGCCGAACATGATTCCAGCCAATTGTTTCTTTTCTGCATCTCTCTTTTCTCCTATTGAAAAGAGGATGACAATAACCCCAACCTCAACCCAAATTAGATAAGGTAGGTCGCCCTGGACAGGATGTACCTACAGAGCAATGACTTCCCACGAACTCTTTTCCTCCCTCATGGCTCCCAGCACTTCGGTTCTCTTCCCTCGACACATGCTCGGCCAGGGAAGTCACAGACGTCCAGAACCCATTGTATATATGGGAAAAGTGAAATCTGGCGCGGCCAAACAACTTACCAAAGGTCTCACAGCCCCGTTGGGATCTGGGGGTCTCCCAGCCCAAGGCATTCTCCACTACCCCCTCCCCGACTGAGAATGAGTTTCTAGCCCCACCCCCCACCCCACTCACGAGGCTCCGCCCCAATAGCACGTCCCGCGGGTTCCAAAAGAGATGTTAACTCTTTGCTTCCCGGGACTTTCCTTGGCCTAGGGACCGGAATGGATTTGGAAGGCGTAAATGAAAGGTGGGCAGAAAGGGAGTGATCCTACTCTCGACCCAGCCTGGCTCAGGTCCCCGGAGGATGACACACCGTGACCCCGAAACCGGCACAGCTCCTCACCTGCAGCACTGCGCGGTTCGCAAACTCACTTCCTGCTTCCGGCTCCCCCATTCATTGGAGCTCCGCAAACCCCGCCCCTGCGAGCCAATTCTCTGGCCCCGGAGTCAAGATGGGCAGCGGCACCAGCCAATAGGCGCGCCGAGGCAAGCCCCTTCGCCCTGCTCCCCTCACCCCCACCCGCCCAGGCTCTAGGGTGTCTTGCGGCTTGGCCCTGCGGCCTTGGCCTTTTGTCCGTGGGCCAGGCTTGCGCAGGAGCTGAGCATTTCGGTGCCCCGCCTGGCCGCGGCCTGGTCCGTGCAGACAGGGTCCCCGAGCCCGGGCGGGGCTAGCGTGAGTGTCATGGACAGAGCATCAGGGTCCTCACCTCACACACAACCAGGACCCCACCCTTTGGGGTTTCGCCTTCGTCCCCCGACCTCAGTTTTGCAGGTGGAAACCTGCCCACTGGGAGTAATGTGGCTCCCCGGTCCTCATTGGACTAGGGGATCTGGCGGGGAGACTCTTTGGAGACAGCAGAACTCTCGGTCCGGGGAATCGCCCAGGTGGTCCTGCCAGCGCAGGGGCGCGGAGAACGCTCCCCAGTGCTTCACTGCACCGCCACACACCGGCGTGGGCCTGGAGGGAGCCGCTAAACATTTCCAAGTCACGGTTTCCTCAACACAAAAGGGCGAGGGCGGAAAGGGGCTGGCGGTTTCTTGGTGCTTGCCCGGTGCCCGCTAGATGAGAAAGCTTCCAGTGACCCCGGAAGGCAGCCCAGTGCAGAGGCGGTGGGAAGTCCACTCTTTTATCAGGAGCTATCAGGAGCTAGGGCCTGGGTGGGGCATGAATGTAGAAGTGCCTGGGGCTGGACTTAGGCCAAGTGGGGAGCATGGTGACCGGCGGGGGGGGGGGGGGGGCAGACTGGGGGGTGGAGTCAGGTGGCCTAAGGTCAAATCCGGTTTCTATCACCTAAGGGTTCTGTGACCTTAGGTGGGTCACTTTACCTCACCAAGTTGTGGCTTCATCAGCTGGAAAACTGGGCTAACTGAAAAACCACTTCTAGGATGTTGTAGGCTTCAGTGAATGCCGACTGGGCAGTACTGCCCCCTAGAGTTGTGTGCATGCAAATGGGGGTGTTTGGGGGACTGAAATCTGTTACTCTCTCCTTGAGATACCTGCTTCTAGGCTCAGAGCAGCAACTGCCCATCACAGGAGCCAAGTTTCTCATTTACAAAGATGCACAAGGCTCTGCTTGGCACGACAGTGCTGCTGGCTATTGGCTCTGATGACAATTGCCATTATAAGGAGGAGCTCAATAGGAAAGTCATCTTTTCTATAGGAAAGTCATCTTTTCTATAGGAAAGTCACAGGTCTCAATTCTCATTGTTTTTAAAATGATTATAAAATGGATTGATTCAGGTGAAGTCGAATGTACATAGGAGGTAAAGTGGTCCATGGCCACCAGGGGGCTCAGGCAAGCTAAAGAGCCCGGTACACAGGACCCTCAACCAAGCTTTAAAATTCCCATTTGTATGATTGTGGTTAATGGAAGCGCTTAACTGAGGTCTTTTGTCAGTTGCTTGCCATGGAGAATCTCATTTAATTCTTGCAAAACCCCTGAGATAGGATACTACTTTACCCACTGCACAGATGGAAAGACTGAGGCTAAGGGGTTCATTGACTTCCCTAAGGCCATACAGATATTTTCAGGAATCCCTGAACTAGGGCCTAGTCTTATTCAGACCTTCCACCACACTGTCCCTTCCACCTGTCCCCAAAACACATGCATACCCACACTCACACAGAACTGTCTACTCACTAGAGTCATGCTCATCCCCTGCCTTGGCCCTTCCCCTGGAGAATGTCAAAGGGATAGGAGAGGAAGCAGTGTTAAGTATGTACTGTAGCACCAGTGCCTTTCAGACATTCACAGCCACTTGATGAGGAAGGGACTGTCATCCTATTTAAATGAGGCTCCAAGATCTGGCAAAGGGCATAGCTGGGGCAAGTTCCGGGCCATCTGACCCCTCCCACCAATACTACAAGTTCTCCCCAGCACCGAGGGTAGTGCCCCTAGCTTTTCTCCCTCCCAGAGTTTGAGACTCCCCACCAAAAATAGAATCAGATTTTTCCCTTTCCTGGTTCCCAACAGGGTCAGAAGAGGGAACAACTGGGGGAGAATTGTGTTTCTACTGCTGTAGGGTGGTTTGAAATGCTCCCACACCCACTCCAGCGTCCTTATCTGCTCTCCATCCCATGGTAACTAAGCATTACTTAGCAAGGAAACAAGGATGCAGTCACATCTCCCTCCTCTCACCATGCAAGCATGCCCTCTGTCCTCTTATTAGCCCAGGTCTGGTCTCTCTGGTCCTAGCGAGCTGTGTAGCCCTGAGAAGTTCCCTCCAGGGGAAATTGCACTCCTCCTTTTTGCAGTTCTGGGGACTGAACCCAAGGCCTCTCCACCACTGAGCTACATCCTTAGCAGCTCTTATTTTTTGAGACAGGGTCTTGCTAAGTTGCCCAGGGTGGCCTCAAACTTGAGATCTTCCTGCCTTAGCCTCCTGAGTTGTTGGGATTACAGGTGTGCACCACCAAGAATCTGCACTCCTAAAGCTCTGGACTCTCTACTGCACTGGGGATGATACCCAGGTCCTGCCTGCACTCAAAACCTTCTTTTTTCATATCTCCAGAATGTCCTTCTACCTAACTTCCTGGTTGGTCAGGGGGCAACCCTAGCAACACCCCCAGCTCGACCCTTGGTTCACAAGAATAGGTGACCCGTGCTAAGGATGCATAAGGAGTCCAGCTCAGACACGGCCACCAGGGCTCACCAGACCCTAGTCCAGATACCCAAAGCCCCATCCCTCTTTCCTGCCCCCCTGAACACCACGCTCATTGGTCACCAAGCATTTTCCCTGTCCTGCTATGCTGCTCCCTTCACCTGAGCTGCCCTCCCAACTCTGCCCTTCCTCTGGAGAGACTCCCTGTACCTTCTCAGAAGCCTTCAGTTCTTGCTCAGAACACCCCAGCCTGGCTGATGGCCCACTGTATTGGCCTGGGGTGCAGGTGGCCAGCAGGTTGTGGTTGCCAGCTTCTGACACCAGCCTGGGCAGGTCTCTCCTCAGGCAGGGAGCTGGGAAGGAAGGGCCTTGCTCATTGCTGGGACCCTGCATGGGGCTGGGCCATGGACAGTGGATGTCCACTGACCCCTTCTCCAGCCATTTGATGGGACAGACTTGAAAACCACATTCAGTTTAGCCCCACTCACTGAAGCAAAGCCACAGTGTCAGGGAGAGGAGCAGCCTCTGCCCCAATGGACAGCTCTGGGTTCAAGTCCTGGCTTGGCCACTTTCTAGCTATGTGACTTGGAGTTTGTGCCTTCATCTCCCTGTGAATGCAAAGGGTAATAACCTCCCTCCCTGGGTTAGTGTGAAGATTAAACAACAAAACCTCCGAGAAGCAGAGCCTGGTGCCTGATGAGTGCTCAATGATCGCAGTTGTTATTATGGTTAGCACAGTGTGGGGCACACGTGGGCACTCAGTGATAGTAGCCCTTGTGTCAGAGCCAATGCTCTGGAGCCGAGAATCCTCTCCCTGCTTTGTTGACTCCTGGCTGTCCACAAATATGGATCCAAATCCTCCATCCAGCGTCTTCCCATCAGCCTGGCCCCATCTCTGCTCTACCCCCATCTGCCCCCTGCAGTCCATGCTCCAGCCCCTAGAATCTGTCACTCTGTTTCCCTACCCCTAGGCTGCACAGAATGTGCAGCACCCTCCCCATCCTATTGGCCTGGAGAGTCCAAGCCACCATGGAGGCTGAGTTCCCTTGCCTCATTCACTTTCCTGTGGCCAGCAGTGACTCTTCCCCAGCCCTGAGAATTCTGTCATTTGGTAATTTGGTCCACTCTCCACTAGATAGTGAAATCCACCAGGTGGGGAACATGATTATCTCTGCATCCACAGAGCCACCTGGCACAGACTGTAGCCTGTGGTGGGCATCAGCACATGCCAGCTCCAGCCCGCTGCCCACCTAGTACTCGCTCAGGGCTGGAGGCACTGCGTGCACGCGGGACACGTGGATTTGTCAGGGCAGCTGAGTAGCGAGGTTTATAGGGGAACCCGGCGGGGCAGCATCAGGAAGGACAGATACCTGCTACTGACTTGGCAGGCTCAGGGCACAGCCAGCCTAAGCTGGGGGTCAGGAACCACAGCTCCTTCACTCCCCCAAGGGCACAGTGTAGGCGGCATGATGTGGGATGCCCCTGGAAGGGCAGGGGCATGGGGCTGACTCCCTCCATCAGCCTGGAACAGCACTGGTGCTAAAGCCCTCATCAGTATGACTAGGGTAGAGATCTTGGGGACCTCCTTGGGGACCAGAGCTCAGGGGAGGGTCACAGCCCATCCAGTGTGTCCAGCCAGTGAGCAATGTGCCAACAGGTAGAGTCCCACATGCAGAGCTCCATCTGGGCTGCAGGGGGTGGGAGACCTGGGTGGGCAGGCGGGCATGGCAGCAGAGGCCCCAGGAGCTTAGTCCAGTGGCCCCTGGAAAATGAGACGGACGCAGCCATGTTCACCCGTAAGCCAGGCCCCACAAAAGGGGCAGGCGGCATGGAAAGCATGGGTGCCGTGCGGTAGCGGCGTCTGGGCCCAGTAGCGGGCAGTCTTCTCAGAGCAGACGTGGCCGCAGGGTGCAAAGGCGTGGCTGGGCGGCCCAGGGTCCAGGCAGAGGCCAGCCTCCTGGCCAAGCCACAGGGGCACATAGGGCCCCACAAGGCGGCAGAGAGGACACTCGCGCTCCTGGGGGCCCCGTTCCCGCCGGCAGCCCCAGCCGTGGTAGCCGTGGACATGACCGCAGCGGACGTAGACCCAGGGCTGCTGCTTGTCAGGCGCTGTGCGACCGCGGGCTGGACTGGGGAAGGCCAGGGTGCTGAGGCCCACTGGGCACTGGGGCCGTGCTGCATTGGCCTCCTGCCGCTGGGCCTCCAGCTGCTTCAGCGTGGGTGCCCGCAGCAGCCCTGCCGGAGTGCGCCACAGCAGTGTGGCCCCACACAGGTCGATGAGCGAGCCGTCTTGCAGCACGTTGGATTCATTTTCCACCTGCCAGAGGCAGCAGAAGGGCCTTAGCCTAAGAGGCCCCAGCCCACCATCAGGCAGCCTCACCCCAGACAAGCCCTCTGTCTATCCCACTGACACTCTCTGGATAGGGCACGCTGGGTCAGCAGGGCAGGCTGGGAGGTCATGTGGGAGTGGGAAGGCAGACAGAGGCTCCCTGGGCACTCGTTGTCCCTCACTCTCAGCATAGGCTTTGGTGTCCTGGTCAAACCAGGAGGTCGGGACCCAAACAGGGTTTTTCCAAAGCCGTCCCATAATGGCAGAGGCAGAAAACACCTCTTGTGCAGAATGCTACTACTGAGGCCAAATCGGCTGTCCCAGGGTCATGGTTAACAGCAAGGACTCTGGAGTGACCTCGTGGTTCAATAACTCTGTATTCTTAGGAGAGTAGCTTAACTTCTCTGTGTCTCAGTCTCCTTATCCTCAAGGTGGGTTCCAGGTCCCCATCTCAAGTGGGTCTCATGAAGATTAAATGAATTGATCAACGTAAGTACTTGGACCAGAGCTTGGCACACAGCTCGACAAGTGTCTGGATAGTTTGTGTGCATAGATTTTAAAAATGACGCTTATCGGACTGGGGATATAGTTTGCCCCACAAACACAAGGCCATGGGTTCAATCCCCAGCACCACACACACACACACAAAAGATGCTTCCAACCCTCCCAGTAGCATCTCTAGATCAGCCCTGCTTTCCCCTGAGGTCTTCATCTCCCTGGCCAGCATGCTGAAACCTAGGAAGAGCCCTGAGTGGCCACATGCTACCTCTCTCTAGGACTCACTCCCAGCTCTGAACCTTCTTTCTCTGCTCTGTGCCACGTGGTACTTCCACGTGGCCAGCACTATCAGAACTACTCCAATGGCCGTTTCCTGCTGGGAGAGGATAATAAAGCGAAACCTGTTTGTACGGGACAGACACACTACAAACTGCCAACACTCTAGGCTATAAACTGCTCACACATGGGCCAAGTGTCACCCTCCTAAGAGGGTGTGATTTTTTTAAGCTGCTGGCAGCCTCGCTGCTCTTGGTAGTGCACAGTGTCTCTGTGCAGCTCCACTTCTCATCACCCCAGGGATCTTCAGCACTGCGCAGGCTACACCTGGGGATGCTGGTCTGCTCCTGCCCGTGGGACAAGTGGCATGCGCCAAGAACTCCTGGGGTTCTAGATGGAGCCCACTGGGGCTCCCTCAGGCGTGAGGACAGCAAGTCATCTTTCACCTTGGGCAGGGGGATGGGCAGATTATGCAGGCCTGGGAAGGGCTGTGGGGGAGATGGAGTGGGCCACCTACCAGCTTCCCCCGCTGCTGGGCTGAGCGACTGTCTCGCAGCGTGTACACATTCCCGCAGACGGAGATCTCCCGCCAGACACCTGGGGCCGAGTCTTCTGAGAAGCCTCCCGCAGGGTGCATCACCAGGACCCCATTGGTGGTCAGGCCATCCATCAGGCCATCGGGGGTCCGCCATTTGGCTGCCCGCTCCTGGGACCACATGAGGGATCCGATCACATCCCTGGGTATTCCCAGCTGGCTGTGTACCAGAGGGGCTACGTCTGTACCCCAAGTTCAGAGGTAACCCAGACAGGCCCGCATGACTTGGGCACCACCTGATCTCCCCAACCTCAGGCTGCTGTCTATGGAGTGGGGCTGTAAGCCCTACCTGGGTCATGGTTAGGATGACTGTGGGCGGGTCCATCACTCCAGAGCACGGCACCTCCCCAGCCTCCCCTTAGTTCACTCTCTAATGAAGAGCTGTCCCTGCCTGGGGGTCACTCACTCCAAGGAAGATGTTGCTGGAGGCATCAAAGCCAGCGGCATAGATGCGGGCAGTATAGGGTGGCCTGCGGTCACAGAGGATGCGGCAGGCATAGCGGGAGATGGTGCTCTGGGCAGAAGGGCCCTCTGCAGCCCCTCCTCCAGGGGATGTGTCTGTTACCACAAAGTCTATCATGTTCTCTGTGGAGCGGCCAATCTGCAAGGGAGGGGAAGGCAAGCACAGGGGTTACACGCGCACAGCTGGACTCACAGCTTCCCTCCCCAGCGTCCCAGCAGCTGCTCTGTGTGCAAGGCCACCACACAACGAGGCTGCCAGACAAAGAGGAGGGGACTCCGGGCTCCCAGATAGGGTCTCCACGTCCAACTGGATATGGCTTGAAGCTTCTCCTTCTCTGCCTCCCCCCTCCCACACTCAATAAAAGCTAGTTGGTCTGCTTATAAAACAGTGGAAAAGTGACACCTCTGGTATGGAAGGGCTTCAATATTCACAACAAATAGTGACTTTTTAGTAAGAATTGACTCTAAGCTAAGTATTCTATGTGGAATACCTCAGTGTTATTATCAGTACCACTTACAGTTGGGGAGAGCAAGACCCAGGAGGTTAAAGGACTCTCGCCCAAAGTCATCCCGTGGCGAGTGACGGAGCTGGCATCTGAACCCAGGCATGAGGACTCTCACACCTGCCCACCTGCCCTCTGGACTCGGAAGCCAAATGGGCCCCACTCTGGGCATCACATATCTGTGTCTTGACATGGCAGCTGCCTTGCTATGCCAGTGCAGAGCCGGTAACCCCTGCCAGGACATTCTGCTTCTTCATAGTACAGAACACTGCCTTGTACCCCTCCACCCACAAGGCACCTTCCCATGGCCTTTAGCCCTGTGGCCTCACCTTGGAATGCCTGCAGAGCTCAGAGGCCAGGAGGCTGGTGGAGGGGTTGAGCATACCTGGAACATGTCTGTGTCGCTGTCATGCGTGTACTCCACTATAACTGAGTGGCTCCGGGACAGTGTGTATGAGATGCTGTGCTGGCCTCGGTTACTCAGTGCCTGGTAGGGAGAAAGAAGTCACCTCCCAGGGCATGTGGCCATGAGAGATATAACCTTCTGAGCCAGAAATGAGCTCAGGGCCTGGCAGTGATCCCTGAGGAAGGGAGCTGCATCCTGTGCCAAGGGGACCGCTCAGCAGGTGCTCCTGCGGCCACCCCAAGGATGGACTATGATTCCCATTTTACAGTTGAGGGAGCTGCAGCTCAGGGAGAAGTGACCTGGTTCTGCACAGCTGGAACGAGCAGAGCTGACTTCTACCCCATCCTCCAGGGCCAAGTCTTTCCCTTTGCTACTGTTGTGTAACCATCACATCCCACTCTAGGAGCCTTGGCTTCCTCTAAAATGATCCTTTCCATCCAGTGAATGAGGTCTGGTGGTCAAGGAAACATTTTGCAAACTGTAAAGTCCTGTGCACACTACAAAGGATTTCCCACCATCATCATTTCTCTGGTAGCCACTAGGCTGTGAGTGACAGCACAGTGCACTGCCCTGCTCCACAGGGACTGTGGGCAGGCCAAGACCTGGGCCTGGGACAAGGTGCTGGGATAAACTGCTTGCCTTGGAGACGAGGGGTGTAGAGATGTGGTGCATGACATCTGGCTTCACTCCATTGGCATGTGGCCGGCGACTCAGTGCAAGGCGGCTTCGCCGACGACCCTTGTCCCCACTTGCCAGACACCCATTGTAGCTGTGGTTGTGGGGATTAAGAAGAAAGGGTTGTAGGAGGAGAGAAAGAAAGAGAAAGTGAGCCCCTGGCAAGACTTGGAGAAAACTGCCAGCTCCAGGCAGGTCCTACCGTCATAAACAAGATCTGGAAGCAACAAAAGCTAGAAGACCCTACAGCAGCAGATTGGCATGTTAGGTGTGTTGTGGGGGGTGTCTTGCATTCAATTAACCAAGTGATCCTGGATGCCTGAGCCGTGCCTGGACAGGTGCTGGATGCTGGGGTTGTAGAAATGATATATCCAATGATCAGTTTTGTGCTGTCAGTGGAGGGGTCCCCAGCTTCTCAAGGACCCAGGCATCAACTGCCATGACAACATGCCTCTGGGCCCAAGCCAAGTGTACCCAGGTCCAAAGGCAGAAGGAAATTCTGGCCCCAGGATCAGGTTTTTGGAGAGAAAGAACACCTACATAAGGCCATGAAGAACTGGAAAGGATTCACCTGTAGCAAACTATAACTTATTACACCACTACTAGAAAACAAATGGAGGAGATGAATGGATCCACAACGCTACTACCTCCATATCTCCATCCATGTCAAGTTGCCACCTTCCTTTGCAGCTCTTGTCCAGGGGAAATGATGGTGAGAAGCAAAGATGGAGTGAGTCAGACCCTTGATGGCTGCCATGTACCGCTACCTCTGTGTTCCTGGCCCTTCACGTTCTTAATTACCTAATGGAATCTGTGCATTGTCCTGCCAGGCAAGTGTCTTTCTTTCCATTTTATGAATAAGAGAACTGGAGGCTCAGGGAGGTAAAGTGACTTGCCTCAGCCTATAAGTTAAAAAGTCCAGATTTGAGCTCAGGTCTGCCTGACTCCAGACTCGCAGATGTCCTTCTAGATGAAGGGCTCAACCTAAGCCAAGGCCCCAAGGCTGGCAGGGTTTGTGAGATCAGGGATTGGTCATTTGGGTTGTAAAGTGTTATCAGGGGACGATGAAGTTGGTAGAAGGGTAAGAATTATATTTCTGAACACTAGGCTAAGAATTATATTTCTGAAGGCAGTCATGGGCAATTAGCTGCCATATACAGCAGGAAGTGATGGGTGATTAGCTGCCATATACAGACAAGGACCACTTGAATCAGAATCTCCTGGTGAGTTTTTTAAAGTCCAGATTCTCTGGCCCTACCTATGGAGATTCTGATTCTGATTCTGACAAGGTGGGCCTGTCAATGTGTGTTTTCAATGCACTTTCCAGTGGCTCTGATGCACAGCCAGTGTGGGGCTTCTCTGCTTTGCAGAGAATAGATGGCTGGTACGGGCCCATCTCATTGGTCTACATTCTCCCCCATCAGTGGCCTTGCCCTCAGATGGAAAACCAGGCCTTTCCTGGGGACATGAAGAGCTGTTATGCTCATGCAAGCACCCTAAGAGGGGCGTTGCTTTTGCCCTTTGGAGTTCTTCCCATGGGGTCAGGGGTGGTCTAGACAGTGGTGGTTTAGGACCTAGGTTCAGGATTCAGGCGGGCCTGGTTAATAGGGCCCATTTTTCAGAACCTACCTTGTAGTTTCATTTTAAAAACTAAATGAGGTAAAACATTTGAAAATTCTTGGCACAGAATTTGGCATAGAAAACAAGCTCTTGATAACTGTTAGCTGTTATTGTTCTTAAGGGAAAAAAAGCCCATTATACATATGTGTCAACAAGCAATAGTCATTATTATTCCTTAATAATCATCATCATGAGGTTAAAGCTTATCAAGTAGTTTCTTCTGGACTGATGACAGAGAGAGGCCAAAAGGAGACATGGATTGGGGCGGAAAAAGAGGGATCTGTGCCTAGGGCAAGAGCTGAGAAGGAGGTGCAGGAATTCAGGTCAGGCCAAAACCAGGGGGGAAAAAAAAAAAAAAAGATGAGGTCTGTCCAGCCACCAATTCCAGTTGCTTTCTCTCTCCTGGCTTCAGTTTTCCCATCTGTAGCTTGAGGGTGAGCTGTAGCTTAGTGACAGTCCACTAGACCTAGAGTAAGAAAGACCTGGGTCCAAATCCCAGCCCTGCCACTTACCAGCTGTGTGCCCTTGGGCCAGTCACTTCCCCTCTCTGAGCCTCGGTTTCCTCACCTCCTTCCTCACAGCATCTTTGTGAAGATTGAAATGAAATAATGTCCATGAAAGGGCTTGGCACAGGCCTGCCTCCCAGATCACTTGATACGTGCCGGGCGCTGTTCTACATACTTAACAAAAATCATCTCTTTCCTTCCTTCCTTCCTTCTTTCCTTGCTTGCTTCTGACAACCCTCTGAGGCAGGGAATATTATCATCCCTGTTTGTAAAATGGGAATGGGAAATGGAGGCACAGGGAGTTCAGCAACTTGCAGAGGCAGAATTGGAATCAAGCAGTTTTGTTGCAGAACCAAAATTCTTTGCCCCACACAACACATCATAGGTGCTTTGCAGAAGGCAGCAGTTGTTACTTTTTCTCATATGATCAGAAACTTGGGTGGGCTGTCTCAGGAATTTGTGAAAACAGGAAGATAAAATAATATTTATGAATTGAGGTAAGTTTAGTCAATTTTGTCTATCAGCTGGGAAGGAAACAAGGGAAAACAGCAGAAGGCCCTACTTATTGGGAGCTGGGGCCCTCCCTCTGGCTGCTAGGTGCCCATCCCTCCCGGATCAGGGAGGCTCACCCCAGGACGATGAGTTCGCCATACTTGATGGGCTCCTCGCCCGGCTGTGCATCTTCACTGGAAGAAAGGATGCAAGAGCCCTTGTTCCCGGGGTGCTGGAGGTCTGAGGTTCGGGGGGTCCCCACTTCAGGGTTTCCTTCCAGCACCATTCTGGGCAGAGTGAGAGAGAAGAAGAGAGCTTTGAAGCTTCCCACCCCAGTCCCCCTCAATCCCAGCTCCAGTCTGCTGCAAGCCACCTAGGCTGAGGCAGAGTGCCCTTTCACACATCTATTGTTATGGCAACGATTCTCCTCTGCCTCCCCTAAACTGCCAAGGGTTGCTGGGACACCAGGGAGGGAGATGAGCAGAATGGAAACAAGAGGGGGAGGTGGCAGAGTTAGAGGTCCCGCATATTTGGTGGGGCCAGAGAAATGGAACAACTTGGTTGGTGGCCAAGATCCCAGTCTGGGCTGTTCTTGGAAGAAGGGCAACCCAGGACTTGGGGGTCTTAACTTGGTCTAAGACTCAATTCCTGGCTTGAGATTTTAGCCCCAGGACCTCTGAGTTATCCTCTGTCAGGTTCTTTGCACCCATCTATCCATCATAATCTTTCTGCCTCTTTGCATGTCTAGGCCTCTGTCTGTCTGTCTGTTTCTCAATGACTCTCTGTCCTCCCAGCACTGTCCTCCCCCCCCCATTTCTCTTCCCACCCTCCTCCCCCTCTCCTCCTGTTGCCTACTTCCACCTCACCATCCATCTGCCTCAGTCTCTCCATCTTGACCTCGCCCTGAGGGCAGGCCTCTCGACTCTCCTGGGTGCGCACTCCCACCCTCCCTCAGGTGTCAGCGGTCCCCCAGGCCTCTGGGTCTCTGGAGGCCTGTGGGGGCGGCGCTCCCCCCTCTGGCTCAGGCTGCAGCAGAGCTGTCTCCCGCAGGCAGCCAGTTTGGAAAACATCCCTATGCTGTAGGGACTGCGCTGGGGCAGGCCGGTGCCCGGCGCCCCGGGCGGCCACAATGACGGCCCAGCGCATACGCAGATACACAGCCAGCGGCCCCTCCACATAAACACGCGTGCGTGCACAGTCCTGCACACCCGGGGGCCACGGGCAGAGCCCGTACGGGCGCAGAGCCCAGCCCGGACCCGCGACTGCAGGGACGAGAAGACGCGCAAACAGCCACAGGCGGCGGCCTTGGACCTACTCCCCCGTCACCCAGACACGCAAACACGCCCCCCGCGCCCGCCCGGCGCAGCCCCCGCCCCCTCAGCCCTGGCGGCCTCACCTGGCCGCTCTCCGGGCCCCGCTCTGGGCAGCTCCCTCCCCGCCTCGTCCCTGCTCGGCCCCGGGGCCGCTGCGGCGGGATGGGCCCGGCCCGCAGCGGCTCCGCGCTGCCTCGTCACGGGGACACCCGGGGCCGCGGGGAGGGGGACGAGCACGAATTGGCACACTCTGCCCCCTGGATTGAGGCCCCGCCCCGTTGGCTCCGCCCACAGAAGCCCCGCCTTGCCTAAGGCTCCGCCCCTTGCGGCCTAGCTTTGCCTTGGTCCGCAGAGCAACGCCCCTTACCAGGAGAACACGCCCCCTCTGGAGACCACGCCCCGGGCACCGCCCAGGGCACAGGAAAGCCCCGCCCACCGCTGTCTGAGGGACTCCCTAGTGCTCTCAGCTGGCGCAGGGACTCCTTGAAAGTCTACGAGACCCCTCCCCCCTTTAGGGGTCCCCAGACTCCGCCCCCATTTCCGGGGACTCCGGGGGTTCTCCTGGAGACCCTGACGTCTTCACCCACTGTGAGGCAGAGCCAGATCCCTGGTCTGAAGGCCCCTTTCCCTAGCTTTAGGCTGGGGGATCTGACATCCCATCTCCTGCTTGGAGATCCCGCCTCCCATATGGGGAAGCCACAGAATTAGAGGAGGAGAATTAGCGGGGGCGAGGAGCAGAGAGAAGGAAAATACTGAAGAAGGAGGGCGGGGTGTGCGTCGGCAGCAAAGGCAGTGGAAAGCGGCTGCGCTGAGTTACAGACCTGTCTTCCAGCCCAGCTTGGCCGCTTTCTCTCAGTGATTTGACCTCGGGCTGGTTCTGGGTCTCTGGGTATCCAGAGGCACACACCGTGCCTCCTCTTCCGCCACCACGTATACCCTGCCTGTGATAGCAAAAGGATAAGCAGAGCTTTGGGGGCATGCAGCCAGCCCCTCTAGGTCTGGGGCTTCAAGAGATCTCTTTTACCCCTCTAAAAGGCGCTGTGTGCTGGTTTTTGAGAAAAAAACCAAAACAAGACAAAACAAACAAAAAAAGCCTTTAATTCTGGGGAGGCAGGCATGGTAATCATTCATTTTTACAGAGGAGGAAACAAATTTACAGAAATAACTTGCTCAGGGCTATTTTGCTAGAAAGGGGCCAAGAGGGAGATTTCAGCTATATGAGTGACTCTGAAGTCCAGATTCTTAAGTTGTTTTTTTTTTTTTTTTTGGGGGGGGGGGGCGCGGGTAGATGGACTCCAGGCCCTCCCGCATTCTAGGCAAGTTTCCTACATCCCCAGCCCCTGGACACCTAATTTCTAACATTTCATGTTAGGATGGGGGCTTATAGGAGAAACTTTATCTGCATCAGATGAGGCTCCTATTTTTCGGTATCTCTTGGTATGGAAGAACAAGCAAGGGCTGGGAGAAGCCCAAAGGGGGGACCATTAAGTTATCTTTGAGGTGTGTGTTTTATGTGGAAATCAAGGAAGACACACGGAGGAGGTAGCCTTTGACTTCCATTATCAGGCATGAGTAGGAATTTTCTCATCTGTTCCTGAGAGGGAACATCTGCCAATGTCCCCCACCCCTGACAACTTGCTGCATGCAAGACTCCCAATCTTCCAGACAGCCTGGGCCCCACCACATTTACCCTACCAATTTCCCCACCTAAAAATAGGAGGCAAAGAGACCAACTGCTTTGCCAACTGTTCTGGGGCCCCAGTAGCCTGATGAAACAAGAAAGTACCTATCAGCACATCCTTTAGGGACAAAAGCACTCATTGATCAAAGAGAAACCCCCTGAGAAGCCTCTACTAGCAGGACAAATCCTGCACCACTGGGCAGCTTTCATCACTGAATGCCTACAGTATTAGTCTCTTGTATAACCTCATCCTCCAGCTCATTGCCTGCCAGAGTAGTCCCTCAGTGACCATGTACTGAATTACTGTTATAATCCGCAGTTTACAGATGAGAAAATTGAGACCCAGGGAGGGCCCAGGTCATGCAGCCAAACAAGGGTGGAGCTAAGGACCAGAATCCCAGTTGCAGTGAGGGAGGTCTGGGAGAGATTGCCAAGACTCATGAAGGAGGAGGCATTCGATTCTTCCAGGGTACAATACTGGGTGGGATTAGAGTTGTATGGCAGGAGCTCAAGGAGCCTGAGTCCACCTGACCACTGAACAGTGCTGAGGTTAGGAAGAGGAAGGGAGAGTTGGGACACCACCAACAGCCAGGGATGCCCAAGTTCCAGTCTTGGCTTCTGGTTCTAAATCCAGCGCTTTGTGCCAAGAACTCCAGCTTCTTAATCTTTCCAGGCCTCAGTTTCCTTATTCATAAAATGAGAATAATAATAATATTAGGGGCTAGGGTTGTAGTTCAGTGGTAGAGCAACTGCCTAGCATGTGTGAGGCACTAGGCTCCGTCCTCATAAAAAGAAGTAAATAACCATTGTGTCCATCTACAACTATCTATCTATCTATCTATCTATCTATCTATCTATCTATAGTTTAATAATACTACTAGTAATACCTACTTGTTGAGCAAGTAGATTTTGAGCATGATTTTGGGTACTGTTCTGAATTCTCTGCATGTAGCCTCTCCTTTTTATCTGTCTTCAATCTAGGTCTTCTCCCTATAGCTTCAAAGGAAGGGACAAAGAAAGGAACAAGATACAAACTGTATTTCTTCTGTTTCTTGGGTTCAAGTATCTGAAGACTAGAAGAATCTCAGAAGCTAATTGAGAAAGGATATTGAAAAAACACAACAAAGAGAAACAGCAGCAAACTCTGGGCTGGGAGATTTGAGTGAGGAGGGGAGAGCTAAGATGGTGGGCTCTGTCCTTGAGCCTTTGCTGGAGGTAGACATGTGGAGTTGGAAAGAGAGAGAGAGAGAGAGAGAGAGGGAGAGAGAGAACCCTTAGATTGATCTGGGGATCCAGAGTAGAGGACACTTGGCCTCACTTCTCAGTATAGCTTCTGCAGGAAGCCCTAGGCTTAGGGTGACAATCACAGTGTGTCTATTTTTTTTTACTTTATTTATTTTACTTATTTATTTTTTATGTGGTGCTGAGGATCAAACCCAGTACCTCACAAGTGCGAGGCAAGTGCTCTACCACTGAGTTATAACCCCAGCCCCACAGTGTGTCTATTTTATGCTATGACCACCAGGCATGGAAGAGTGTTGGAATTTTTGTGTCCAAAAAGGGCAGAACTGAGAGATGCTGGCAGGTCCTAAGGGGTCTCACAGCTCACAGGAGGGAGATTCAGGGTACCTGACAGAGGTCAGCAAGATGGAGGTATCTTGCTAGGCATAGCAGTGCATGCCTGTAACCTTAGCTACTGGGGAGGCTAAGATAGGAGGATAGCAAATTTGAGGCCAGCCTCAGCAACTTAGCAAGACCCTATCTCAAAATAAGATAGAAAGGGTTGGGGATGTAACTCAGTGGTAGAGCATTTGCCTAGCATGCATTGAGACCCTGAGTTTGACCCCTGGTACTGAGAAGGAAGGAAGGAAGAGGGAGAGGGGAGGGATAGGGTAAGAGGGAGGGAGGGAGGGAGGGAGGGAGGGATGAAAATGTCATTTCAATAGAAGCTAGCAGAGAAGACAGCTAGCTTCTGGGATACTGGTCCTCGGTCCTCTGGCTGCTCTCAGTGCTATGACGCTAGGGAAGTGTCCTGAGATCAGAGAGACCATTCCAGGTAGAAGAGAAGTGAGAAGGACAGAAGACTCAAGATGACTGAGTTTAAACCTGAAATGACCGAGAAAAGCTGAAACTTACTAGATGACAGCATTTCCCAACAGGAGCAGTGATGACTGAAAGAGATGACTTGGTTATTGAGCAGGTGCGAGCAAACTATAGCTCTCTGGCAAAACCAAATCTGGCCTGTTTTGTTTTTGTTATAAGTGTACAGCCATACTCTCTAGTTTCTGTGTTCTTTGAGGCTGCTTTCAGGCCACCCACAGAGTTCAGTAGTTATCAAAGGGACAGAATGTCTCTCAAAGTCTAAAATAGTTACTCTCTGGTACCTTCCAAAAAAGTTTGCTGACTTCTAGAAGGTAATAAAAGTCACATTTTTTGTCCCTTTTATAATGAAAGGATTGATGGCTTGAGTATACGACATTCCTGATGTCCCTCCTGGGCTCATTGGAAGGATTAGACCAAATAGCCCTGAGAATACTTCATCTTTGTGATCTATTAGTGCATAGCCAGTTACTCTAAAACTTAGTGGCTTAAATAATAAATATTTATTATCTTACTCAGTTTTGGGGAATCGCTGAAAGTTGGGAGCTGGCTTTGGGTTACTCGGGAGGCTGCATTCAGAGGCTGCATTCAGTTGTCATGTGAACGCTTGACTAAGGCTGTAGAATTCCCTTTCAAGGGAGGGTGCATGTTGGCAGGAGGTCAGCCATTCCGGGGCACAAAGATTCTCTTTGGGATACTTGAGTGTCCCCACATCATGATAGCTGGTCCAGGTATGCATGAGGCATCTCAGTGCAGTTCCTTAGATACAGCTCCCCAAGAGCATTCCCTTTTCTTCTGAAAACCTGTGGATGAAAAGATCATCTTCCCCTAAAAGGGAAGTGACCAAGCAGCCTCAGAAACACTCTAAGTCTGAATTCAAACAAAAGACTTTATTTACCTGGCCAGGGACTGTCATCCACCTATAAAGACTGATGCTCTGTGGGAGAACAGCAATTTCCTGGCCTGTGTCTTGGGAAATTAAGGATGAATTTAAAAACTCAGGAGAGCCAAAATCTAACGGGGTCTCTGGGTCTGCAAGCTGCCTTGTTGGGTACAGTAAGGGTGTCATCTTCTGCCCTCAGGCAAATCGGGCAGGGGCCAGATGTGGGTTTCTGTTGCACCAGATGGGTGGGGGTTGAGTGTTCAGACTTGAGGCAAACAAACAATAAGGAACCAGGCGGGTGAGGGCGGGTGAGGGTGTTCAGCCCACCCTGCAGCTAACCTTTGTTCAGCCTGCTCCACCACTAACATCCCCTACACTCCCAACAAACAATGTGGGACAGGCACAGGATAACTGCTCTGTTATCATAGCAGTGATGCCTTATGTTCAACAGGGAAGTATGAGAAACTTGCAGACTCACTATTGCATAGCAATTGTGAAATCTTGCAGGACACAAGCAACAGTTCTTCTATTAAGACTCCAATT